CACATCTTCCCAGGGAGGACCTGGCAATCCCAGCCTGGAGCAAGGACTCCCCTCAGCCCCTCTCCAAAGGACCACTTCGTGCAGCTTCATTTTGGCCAAGGTAGGAAAGAAAGACCTTTTTGCTCTGCTACCACCTGCCAGCTCCTTTGGGTCTCCTCAGGGCAGCCTGTCCAGCCAAGGGCAACCCCCCATGCACTTCTCCCTCCCCTACCCACACCAACCATCTGCTCCAAGCCCCATGTTAGTATCAGCAAGTGGCCAGGAGGGAACAAAATCACAAGCATCCGCTCTTACCTCAAGGAGGAGTGTCCTGCCAGCCTCTGCCTGCTGTAGTCAGCAGCACCGCTCTGTGGAGCCCCTACTCCAGGGGCTGCAACTCCCCCCTCACCATGCACCCCAAGCAGAGACAACTCCCTTCCAAACACCCCTCCGACCTGCTGGGGCTGAGGACGAAGGAGCTCAGGTGTGAGCCAGCTCCCATCTGGTGCACCAATCTCCCCATCACCTGACACAAGAACACAGGTGAGACCTATTATTATCATTGAGGATGGGGGAGAAATAGATGGTGTCAGAAATAGGTTCGGAAAGGGTCAAACAGTCTTTCAAATGGGCAGCCCTCAGGCAGTGATTCCTGACCTCTTTCTTCTTTGTTTAACTATCCCCTCCCCAGAGGTTAAGAGCTATCCCTCAGTGGCTGCCAAGATAGGAGTGTGTGTGTGCCCACATGTGATGTGACTGAGACAGGTGAAATTTGCTCAGGTAGGGCTGGAAATCATGTGAAAGACAAAGCTGCCTCTCTCAGGACCAGAATACACATAGCCAGAGCAGGAAAAATATATCTGGAATAAAATGGCAGGAGTTTGTAGATGGAAAGAACGAAAACAGCCCTTGTGAGACAGTTAAGCTCTCCATGTGTCAAACACCCACATAGCCTAGCCTGGCAGCAGATCAGCAAATCTCTGCTGTCTTGGTGTGTGGCTCCCAGACAGCTTCAGAGAACTCAGCACACACAAACATCATGTTTCTGAAGGGCTGATGTGCAAGCAATGAGCAAATCCCACCCTCCAGACTCATGGCAGAAGTGTAACATTACAGATGTGACTTGAGATGCCAAGTGTCGACATGGCTCTGCATGCAGAGGGGAACAGGTGCAAATTCAACTGCTCCTGGACACTAGTCCCTGTACTTATAAACCTGCTCAGCTCCCAGTTCAGGGAATCTGCATTTAACTCCAGGGTGAGTACTTGTGCTCTGGCTGCTGACGGTCATGGTCGTGCTCATTACTACAGTGTCTCTACACTTGTGTAACTCATCACTAACGTGTCATTCACCACAAGGTTCCCTATCCAACCACTCACAGCTGGTTTAGCTTTACTGTGTCCTGATTGGTCTGCAGATGTAGCATATCAGCACATGGTTTCAAAATAAACAAAAGAAAACAAAAGCAACCCTTTTGGTCTTCTTTATTCATGTTTGGTTTTTTTTTTTTTTTTTTTCAAAGGAGTGGATGAGAATCAACCTATTCTTTCTGGAACAGCAGAAAGGATAATTTTGGTTTTAGTAATGTAAATCACACAGTGATAGAGGTCAGGCAGAAGCACCCAAAGCACTGTAGCAGGGCTGTGCAGGCAGCCCAAAGGCTCAGCAGTAAACACCTACTCGAGCCCAGATACGTAGGGGAGTCTTACATGAGCTACTGAAAAGAACAGGAAGTAACATTATGTTTTATTTGTGTCTGCAGAGCAGCCCACAACCCTACAAATGAAGAGATAGTGATTTCCTCTCATCGGTCTTAAAAAAGTACTAAATTGTAACCAAGACAGCAGATTTGTTACCATCTGAAAGTTATCATTTCTCTATAGCAACCGGGTCCCTTCTGTCTGGCTGTTGCTGCCAGATGTTCATTTCATTGTAATTTAGCCATACACACGGGACACTGGCTTGCACTGCCCTTGCTCTGTTTTCCCTGTAAGCAATTCTCTTTGCTTCCTGGCCATGATTTCATTAGCAGTAAGTCATACAGCAGACAGGTGAAGTTGTACAAAGAAGTTTTTATTAAGCGTGCTGATGGGCTGTGCTGCCTGCTGAAGCTTTGCAGATGGACAGCCCCTGTGTTCTAGGCTGCAGTGCTAACCTCTGCACTGGAGTAGGAGCCTTCTTGAAAACCTTTCTCCAGTGCTCCTTGGGCTGCTTTAAAAGGATTTCACCTCTTAAGGAGAAGGCTACCAATTACAATCCATTTGAGGCACTTCTGCGTGTATAAACCGATACCATCTCAAAGAAGCCAGTGGCTTCTATCCCTCCCGTTCCTGCACTAGAATATGCTAACCTGTAAAGGTGAGCACAGCTTCAAATTTAGGCACTACACAGTTATAAGCATGAACACAGAAAGATAAACCCCACATTTATTATGAAAATCTTAATTTAAAAAATGACTGGAAAAATAGTCTTGCCCTGTACTTCCAGAAGCAATAGGGCTAAGAAGGTCAGTTTGCATTGTGGCTTACCCACTTACCAAAGTATTCCATTCAGCTCACCCACATCTTGCTTTCTAACATTAGCCAGATTTACTTTCCTTAATGACCAGGTTTTATGGCCTCATCTCTACACGTATTTACCCAGCTGCTCTGTATTTGCTAGGTGAGCATGTGTGTCACTTCATGTTTCAGAAGGGCTTTTAACCCTCGCCTCTGGGCAGTCAGGATTTCCTGCTCTGCAGCAGCAGGAACAGGGCGAGACAGGAAACACTGCTGGCTGCTGCTACGGGCTGGGAGGGAGAAAGGTCAGCGGCTGGGTTTGTACCTTCTCATTACTCCCACATCCTCAGGATTGCATCTAGTCAAGAACTGAACTTAGCAAACTGCCCTTTTATGTTTTCAGTATTTGCCAAACTTAATTTGAGTACACATCAGTGATATTCCTTGTCTTTGAACTGCTTTGAATACTGTATTGCTGAGCCAGCACTGACTGATGCAACGGCAATGCCAGATATCCACATGCTCAGTGTCTGTGTCACTCACGGGAATAGAGCCAAGCCCTTCCAGCTCCTGAAAAGGAGCAGCTTTATCACAGCCCTGTCTTGAGACCATCCATTTTATATTTTGCTAAGTAGAAGCACTGTGGAAAGTCAGCCACTCAGACAAGTCACATGATATTGAACAGCAGAGTTGGGACAATCATTTGACATTCTTCATCATTTAAAAATAGTTTTTAAATATTATTTTTAAACAAAAGCATTTTCCAGCTATTTCCTACTTTGATCTGAAGTTCTAGAAGCATTGACTTGAACTTTATTTGATTACAGTCCCACCATCAAGTTTTGTCCATCATCTTTCTGCACACACACAATTCCATTGCTGTTTTATCCTTTAGAATGCTGCTATGATACTTTATAGCACTACAAGAAATGCATTAATGTACAAGCTGCTATGTCCCTGTACCGGGCTGGGACACTACTGCATACTACCATGAAAGTAGAAACAGGCAGACTGCTATTCAAATAGGAATGTTATACTGGAATTTATGAACATTCAATTGAAATAAATTTAGCTTTATTCTGAATCAAAATGAAACATTCATAAAGTTTCCCATTAAAAGATCAATGCTTTGTTTATCCAAAGTGCAAAACCAAATTCATATATGAAACATTTCATAGCATTTTAGTGAAGGTATGTATTATTGCAACTTGTATTGGAAAAAACTGCAAGTAACAGTACAATTTAAAACATCATAGCCCCATATTTTTTAAAAGGAATATTTTTCTTTTAAAATTTATTTAAAAACTGACAGCACTAGTATTTTTCAGAGGCAGCATGGCAAACAACTTTGAGCAATACCACCTCTGTCCTTTGAGTAGAGCAGACTTTAAAGCTGAACATGAAAAAAGCAGCCACCTCCCAATTCTGGTCTCCATAGAGAGCCTAAAGAAAGACATCGATTTATGGTAAAGGTAATATGAATTCAAAGTTAGTGCTGGGACTATAAGACCATAAACAGTGAAGCCTATAGTATTTACACAGCTGCAAGTTCAGATCCAACTTTTTATAAAACTTACGTATTACAAACAAAGAGAACACTGGTGGGGTCTGGCTGTCATCCTGAGACAAGTATATCATCATCTAAGATCTCCTTCAAATTGAGACTTGCTGGATCTAAGTAAAAATACTGCATTTTAATGCTGTTAATAGAAGGGAAACACAAATAAAATGCTTGGCTGTCAGGTAGTTTTCTCGCTCCTGTGAGCAAGCAGACAAAAAAATGTGGATCATATTGAGAAATTGTGATAGTTCTACAAGGTGAACCTCATCATTAGCTCTTCTGTCCCCTGCATACTATGACTTTTGCAGTTTTTGTGCAATATGTATTAAGACTGAATTACAGTGTTAACACAAGACAATTCAACAGCTCTTTCAGGTAGTGTGTGATTTCAGCCATTTTGGCTTAAAAGGCACAAAGGCTCAATAACAGTAATGCAGATAACTGAGAAATACTTCTGCTCACAATGGTGCATTAGTGCACGCAGAACTTTCAAGCAGATTCCAGGACCTTTTACGTAAGACATGAGCACAGCAGCAAGAAATGCGATGCCTGTTGCAATAACACAATACAACAGGTCTTTGAAATTTGGGGAATCTGAGTAAGACAAGGTACGCTCCTGCGCTCTATTAAGAGAACTTTCCAAGAGCAGTTGAACATGGTCACTGCGCTGCCCAAACAGGGGGTACTGAGGAGGTGAAATTTCTGAACCAAGTAGCCTTGGTGTTCAGGTGTGGTTTTGCCCTTCCTTCAGTGAAATTCTCTCACTTTCCTGTTTTGCAGATGGGACACAAAAGCAGAGCTCCTATTAGCACACATTTACAAATTCAATCTCTTCTCTCTCTGTCCAAGTGCCAAAGCTTTCCTAATAGTTTTCCTTAGGTAAGACTTCATCACCAAATTAAAATGAAGCAATATGACAAGTTAGTAGAATATATTTGTTTAGTTTCATCACAAAAACCACATACTTGTTTAGGCCAATTTTCTTTTTATTAATAATATAAGGTTCTGTAATCTCTTAACATTACAACTGAAGTTTTACAGTTAATCTCACACTAAAATGACAAACACTGTTTGGCTTTATTTGCAGAAAATTAAATTACAACCTTGATAAACACACATTTCCAAGATTGAGAAGCAATTTGTGTTTTCTGGATTTCAGTGCTAATGTATCCCTGCCTTTGAGATTTGTTTCAGTTAATTAACATTGCTACAGAAGAACTATTTGGCCTGGCCTCTGTTCACAGCTGTAAGGCAAAGATGACATCTCTAACTTAACCAATATACTATGAGTCAAATCAAGACATGTTTTTCTTTGACTGCAAGATTTAGATCCTGGATCAACTTCTAACAGATTTGCTTCTTTCCCCTCAAAACTTCTATAAAGGTCTCTCCAATGTAAACATATTTTACAGTCAAACCATAGCCACTCTGCACCTTTCCTCCTTCAAAGGGAGCAGAAGCTATGTAATTGGAAGTAATTACAAGCTTAATTTAAACTGCTTGTAACTTACATATGGCCAAAATAGTCAAGCAAATGCAAAAGTCACGTGTTAGGCATCGGCACTTCTGATCTGCATGGATCGAACTCCATCTCTGAACAGGCTGCAGCTACAGGAAGTGAAGTCTATAGAAAGTAGAGATACAGAAGAAAGAGTGGTGGAAGACTGTAGAATCAGTGAAAGTAAGATTTCATTTAAATGTTGAATGATTTGTGTGTATCTAGGTCTTCTGAACTTGCATTACATTTTTTTTTTATTTTCACTAGGAATTTAAAAGTGAAGTTAAAGACAGTAATACATGTTTCAGCTGTAGTTTCACTAAGCTCTGACGGGTTCATAAGACAGAGAAATACTTAGGAAGACAGTAACAGGGCAGCCAGTAGAAAAAAAAATCCATTACATTTGTAGTTAATCTTTTCCTCAGAGCTATCCAGTGACAGTGCTTTGAGACCTTAGAGCCTGTTATTTCACTTTTCCATATGACAGTTGACATACAGTAAAAATCTTTACTACGTTTTAAATCACTTCAGAAGTCGAGGCTATTTAAACGTTAGAGAGTATAAGGAGATTTTACCTGTGTACTTTCAATACAAAAAAAGAGATGAGCAAACCACAGTGAGAAAATTAAAAAATGGGAAGGACATTGTAGAGCTGTGTTGTACTTTAGTCAAAATCTTAAGAGACCAGTATTAACTAAGCTATGAGTACTTGTTCTAGTTCTCTTTGTGCTGTCATTCTGCAAAAAAGCTTCACATACTTTCCTTCAAAATTAATTCTTCGTAGTTAGACATAAACTTTCATTGAGGCACATAAACACCCTTCATATTTACCAGCTTCTAGAAAGGTCTCCACTTCAGAGCAATACAAGTCATCAGCAATACACCAGCTGTGTATCACCACTGTGCAGCAGGTGAGATGAGGGAGTGCTCTGCACAAAAACGTGCAGATTCACTTTGCTGAGACACCTTTGTGTACTTAAGGAACACTTAACCACAGTGTGAAGGCTCAGTTTCCTAAAACAGACTACACCTATTGTTTTAGTTACTTCTGAAATATGAACTCTGTGGGAGAGAAAAAAATTATATATTTTTATGTTGAAATGTTGTGAGACAAAGACCATTCAAAATTAAATGTAGCTGCATTATAAGTACCACATGAACATTCTGCCTTACGACCTGCAGATCATAAAAAAGTTTAAATACCTCGACAGCATGCATTTTTAAAGTGATGTTTTGAGTGTTCATGTTTTTCAGTAATTTTAAGTACAGCATTGAAATTAGTCTTTAAACAAGTTCAGAGTTTCTGATATGCAGTATATTTTCAAGCACTTCATACTCTTTTTGGTATATTACCAAAACTGAGAGCTAATGAGACAGTATTCTAAAATAGTTTAAAAACAAAAATGCAATTTATCTTTTTCTCCTCATTAAGGGCACTACCAATACAAAAGGTGTCCAAATTGACACTACAGAGCTGTGAAGCAGTTGGCTAGAGAGACAGTGTCCTCAAAGGATAGTCTGTATTTCTTCTATCCTAAGCATTTACATTAATTATCAAAAAATTGGATAATTTGCTTTAAGAAAGAACCCACCTTAAAAATGGATCATGAGTACTGACAAATACTTTTAGTTTATTTAGTTTCAATGTAAAAATGCTTACTCTCACATGATACTGATCAAGAAAATATTTAATTTTCATAAAGTTCAATGGACAATTAAAATTGTTGCTACTTGTGAAGTAAATAAATGATTCATAAAGGCCATAGGAAACTGTACAAAACTTAAATGGGAAATCTCACTTCCAGGATAACATTAGGTTGTGTTTTATTAAACTGTTGAGACTGTTTCAAAAGACAGTGCTGGGCAGTTTCATTTGAATAGCCAAAACTTTTTTTTTTAACTGATAAAGGTATTTTGCATCTATGCAAAACAAACAAAACAGGAACAAAAACTATACACACTAGGACTGAAGTACAGATGAACGCAAAATTTTGTTACAAACCTGTTTTCAACATACAGTGAGAAATGTCCATTGTACAAAACTAGTGACTGACCTACAATTAATTTAAGATTATCCCAGCAATGCAAATACAACTCAGAACGGTTCAACTGTGTATAATTTTCAAGTAGTACTACAGTGAGAGACTACTGAGTTTTTAGTAATTTGGCTTACACTGTCTCTTTTGATCAAAGCCTATATTTGTACTCTTAAGTATTTGCTGGTTACAAGTCTGTTACATGCTTAATCCTTCAGTACAGTGAGGTACTCCTTGGTGTTCCCTCACCTGTCTCTTAGCAGCTTTCCTTTAGCAAGAGGCTGGGTTGAGCAGCTGCTTCTGTAGAAAACAGAGTTGTCAGTCTTTGTCCTCCTTGCAGTGGATGCTTTAAGTAAGAAACATCTGGCAGTATCCAGCATTGAAAATACTGTCAGCTGTGTTACACCGAACTTGGAAAACAAATCTGCATTTCCTGGTGGGTACTTCGTGCCCAGTGGGTTAAGAGCATTGTAAGTAAAAGTCCATAAACATTAACAGTGATGTTTATACTTTATTGGGGGGAGAGGGAAGGGAGTAGCAAAAAAGCAATGTAAATTACTAGTTTTTAAAGTTTAATCTATGTTATATTTGATTACTGGGATATCAATACAATAAAGTGGAGGAATTTCAACTGTAATTTTTAATTTTTAGTACATCATTTGTGCAGGGCTTTATAAAAGATTTTTGTTTCCAAAGATATTATTGGGATCCACATATTCTTTAACAGATCTCAGCATTCCCAAGCCAACATCAGAGATGCTCTCCTTCATCCAGCGCTTCCGCAATTTGCCTACTGGAAAAACAAAAACAAAGTGTTTCAATATATGGCAGGATTCAAGGAGCCAATCAATCTTGCGAACATGAATGAATAAACACTGTGTGATAAATGCTTTTATTCAAAAATGAGAAATGTTTTGCTTTATTTGATTTATTGAGCCCACCAGACTATCAAGCTCATTAAGCTCAGCATACTCCCAGAGGAAGACTGTGTTCCACACTGTCTACTTTCTTTAGAAACTATGAAATTTAGATGAAGCTTAGGCTGAAATCACATGTTCTATTAAGACGGGGAATCAGCATAAGTTTTAAAAAGCCACAAACTAATTTTAACTAGGAAACTGTAGAGGAGATTACTAAAAAGCAGAATCCTACATTTCTTAATCTCTTTAAACTGAAAACGTAACTCAGTCATCCAGCTTAAACCAGTATTGGTTTAAATAGCAAAAAAATGTTTCCTATAAAGAAGGCTTAATAATTAATTCAAAAACTTCTATGCTGGCTGGTAATTGCTCAATACCATTACACAAGAGCTTTGTTTTCCATGTAAAAATATTCACTACCTATAACAAATACAAAATAAAACTGAAACAGTCTTTTAAAAACTCATTTCACTAAATTCTCACAATAGTCCTGTTAAATAGCTGAGTGTTCACATACTAATCAACAAAATGGTCAACTCTAATTAACAAATAATTCAAAACTAGGGACATTTTTTCATTAAACACAGTCTAGCGTTTAACTTGTCAGCCTGAAATGCAACCCATTCGTCAGTATGATACAATATAGTAAAGGTTTGAGAGACAGAGGCTTTAAGAGCATTTGAAGCTAAATTCAAGCCATCTTTTGTGCCCTGTTTTCAGGGTAACCATCAAACTGTCATCAGAATAATAAATTACAGGGACACCTCTGGGGAACAGAATATATTTGTTTATACCTTAAGGAATACGGGCCACTCACAATGCCAACAGAAAAAGCAAATAACGTGAGACAGAACAAAATTTGCAGTTTGCTAGAAAACAACTATTAGCGGCGTGTGTGTCAAGAGCAAAGACCACAACTGAAGGACAAAAGAATTTGTTATGTGATAGGAACTGCGCTATGTTTTGTGGACCCAGCTCAGGAAAAAATCCCCATCTGTAAATATACTATCACTACAATGCAACTGTCTGAGCAAGCTGATGTGGTTGAATTTTACCTCGGAAAACTTTAATACAAATTCTACAAAAAAATCCAAAGCATGGATGTGGCCTGACCATCACCTTAAGTCACTCACTGGCTCTTACACAAGCAGCTGAAGAACAGTCATTACTATTCTCAACTGTTATCTGTAATACAGTTTCAGTGAATGTGTTCTGTGGTTATGGATGTAATTGTCCTGAAAAGACTGCAAACAACTGCTCCAACAAGATGGAGCACATTAGAATCACAGCAGGATGCCCAACAGCTAGCATGCCTGCCTCTTTTACACCTCCAGTAATAATGTAATTCCACAAGGAACTGAACTACTGTCTGAGCAGCACCAAACAGTCGTTGCATATTTAATGAAGTCGCTCACCAAGTGCTGGAAAACAGAAGGTGCTTGGAGTGCATCATTAGTTCTGTCAAAGTGATAATTTACACATCTATCTTGTCAAATTTTCTATGGTTTATACTTTTGAGATAATAAATCTAACATACATCTGACTAGTGAACTGGAAAGAAAAAAAGCTGTACTACAGTTACCAGCAGTCCTTCACAAACATGCTCGACGCAAAGATTTTAACCCTTTATAACAGCAAAGTTGATCCCCTGCTCCTACTGTTCACGTCAATAAGATATACATGGATTTTTCAACTAGTCAAGTTTTAATATTAGAGTTAAAAAGTATTGAAGCAACCTCTCAGAATTCTAAGCTGATTCATCAGATAAAATGGAACGGAGACCAAGTGAAGGAAAGGCCCTATGCAGATGAGAGCAGCACTTAAAAAAGTAATTTATATATTGTTTCACTTCAGGTTAGTTCTGCACTATAAATATTCTCTTCCTCCTCTCCCACAGCTTCAATTCCCAATTAGCTTCAAGGATGAGAATTGGAAAGGAGGAAGAAAATGCCATAATAGTAAAAGAAGTTACTGTGAACATAAAAGTAATTCCAAGTGACAAAGTTGCTTACCTCCACTCTAAGACTGGCCAAACAGCTTTGAGCCAAGGAAGCCTTAACTTCCCTAACAAAAAGGTCTCAGTTAAACCTTATCACAGACTAGGGAAAACCAACTTCCCACCTCTAGCCTAGAGAAAGTAGACTTTTAGTTTTAGCCCTACATGATGCCATTTGTCTAGAACTGACATGAGACAGTGCACAGAACCAGAACTGATACAAGCATCTAGCACTTAAAGGCTTTCAGCAAAATATGCTTTTCTCAATTAAAAAATGAGATCCAAATCGCTTGATTCTATATGCTACACCATAAACTTATTAATAAGGTTCTCAAATCAAAATAACATTGTACAATCAATTTCTAGTAGCTCAGAATGTTACTACTTGCCAACTCAGCTACACACACAGTTCTTGTTGCCCCAACTGGAAACAAACACAGCCCTCCCTTCTTGCATCTTCTCCTCTGAAGACACTAGATCTTGCACCTGAGGAGAGGGTGTCAAGAGGATGGAGCCAGGCTCTTCTCAGTGGTGCCAAGCAATAGGGCAAGAGGCAATGGGCAGATACTGATGCACAGGAAGTTTCACCTGAACATGAGGAAGGACTTCTTTACTGTGTGGGTCACCATGCACTGGAACAGACTGACGAGAGGTTGCACAATCTCCCTCACTGAAGATATTCAAGAACTCCTTCAATGCAATCCTGTGCAATGTGCTCTAGGATAACCCTGCTTGAGCAGGGAAAGTGGACCACTGTGGTCCCTTCCAACCTGACCCATTCTGTGATTCTGCGATTTTAATTATCCAATGTGAAGTACAACAGAATTAGTTTTCAAGTTTTACAAGTGGCAAGTGGCCTTTTCCTGAGGTGTGCTGAGCAGCCTAATAATGCCTTAAAACATTCACTGCCAGGAAGCCAGAAATCTCCAATCTGAACTCCAGCCTATTACATACCGTACAAACACTCCGGCATGGCAGAGAGCCTACTTCACACAAGGCACTTCAGATCACATAGCCAAGAAGCTTGTTTAGTAGCAACTCTAGACAGTCCAACACCAATATTATTTTAAATTTTTTATCTATCATTCTAGTCCATGTATGAAAGAGAAAAACATGAACTGGCTAAGTAACGTTTTCCCAGCTCTGACACATGCTGGTCCAGCCCTTAGCTGGTTTCACTGGAAAAGCTGTTCAACCTTCCATTGCCCTTTTCACTTGATCATTTTCGAAAAATGTGTCTAGATGGCTACAAAAGTCTGGCTGCTAAAAATGGAGCTAGCAAACAGCAGGCAGCAATTGTTTTTCTCATTTTTGGAATAGGAAGTACTAGGGCACACGTGAACAGTCTTGTAAGGAAAGTTTTCATAGAGCTGACTGAGTCCAGGAATTAGTCTACACCTATGCAGAGTATAAATTTATAGCATTGTGGTCCCAGTGGAAATGGGCTCTATGGCACTGCACCTGGCTCTAGACTTCCTCTGCTTCAGCCCTTTCAACTTGAAGAGGTAGTTACTGCATAACAATAGCTTTGCAAAAGGAGCAGCAGTGACAGGTCCTAAGAAGGATGGAGCTCTTCCAGCTGTTGCATGCTCTTCCTGAAGCTAGTAGTCTCTACAGGAAACAGCTCTCTGCTCCTAGAAATTAACACGTTATTACTCTTCCAGGGAGAACTCTGCAATACTGAGAAAGGTTGGTGCACTACTCTAATACACGGTAGCACTGGAGTATATTGGACCAGTGCACATCAAGTCTCCTATATCAGTAACACCATCACCACATCATCTTGCACATTTTTGCTCGGTATCTTAGAATCATAGAATCATAGAATTAACTGGGTTGGAAGAGACCTCTGAGATCATCAAGTCCAACCCTTGATCCAACCCCACTGTGATTACTAGATCATGGCACTCAGTGCCACATCCAGCCTCATCTTAAAAACCTCCAGGGACAGTGAATCCACCACCTCTCTGGGCAGGCCATTCCAGTGCCTGATCAAATGTGATCTTAACATCTTAAATACTTTCAAGTTCTCTGTTGATGAGTCAGAAAGTCCCTTGCTTTTTTTTTTCAAAAAGGTACTGAAGATGACTATTCGATTAAGACTTTCAACAGACCAAGGAGGAAAATATAACTGTGTTATTATATTATTTCACATAAAGTTACTCCATGTCTGACAAATGTCACAGTTTCAACTCATTCTAATGAGTAGAGAAAGCTCTATCATGATCATACTGCAGTGCTTAACCTAAGGTTAGAAATACTTTTCCTGTTCAGAAAAGAATGTGTTCAACTCCCCCCAAAAAGGAATTTTATCATTTCAGATTTTGTAGTTTGTGTGGGTTAGTTACTGCAGTGTACAACTTAAGCCACAGCTTCTTACTGTTGCCAAAGTACTGCAATGTCAAACATGCACTTGAACGCAAATGAGATGTAGGGTTGTTTGGTTTTTCCTTTGTTTTCTTTTTGGGGTTTTTTGGGTTTGTTTGGATTTGGTTGCGGGTTTTTTAGTGTTGTGGGGTTTTTTCCTTTTTTTTCCCCTATATAAACTGCCATAGCTATAGCTAAACCTGTGCAGTGTGGGCTACATAGTTAACCTTTACTCTAGTCAATCTGTCTGGAAAGGAAAAGAAAATTAGTTCTATTATGTTAAATGGCTAAATGGGGCTATTTTCCTCCACTCCACAATCTGATAATTGTTTTCTTAAGTAATCAGTTTTAGTTAAAACAATTCCTGAAAGGGAAACAATGTATCATTAATTTTTACCCTGTTCTTTAGTTTTACACGGGTCCTTAGCTTGGTAATACGAAAGGGATCTGGTCCAAATGCAACCATCTCCCTTCTGGTGCTGTACCCCAAAGAGATTATAGTTGTGTTTATATACCAGTCATACCTAATCAGCACATGTTATTTCACATATACAAAACTAGGCATGTTTTATGAAACAGGAATTCAAGAATGAAAGGTGTGACATCATACGGGTGTTTTTAGGGCTTGCCATAAATGACTTGACTAATTATTTATCTATACTTAAACTTGTATCTACAAGAAATTAGCATTTAAAAAGCACGATTAGGAATGACAAGTTACTAAACACTAACTGTGGCTCTCTTACATGACTCTCAAATCTAAAGATGAGCAGTGTTCAGAAAAGCAGAAGGATCAAAGCTGTGCTTGAAAATGTCCACTATCCCTTTCTAAGTGTAGGATAGAGTCAAGGCAAGGTGAAAACCAAAATGGAGGGGAAGGAAGATATTTTCAAAGTTAAGTCCTTCTGAAGCTACTCTTTGTAAAGTTAAGAGTATTATGATTTCAGTTCTCAGCTGTGGATTATAGCCACATGTCTACCTGTAGTTCGTCCTTCCCCAGATGTAAAGTCATGTGGAGCTTTACACAACCCAGACTGTCATATATGGCCACTTCTTCACTCAAGGAGTATATGAAGATTGACTTAAGCAGGCTTTGTATTTCCTATAGCCTCAAGTCCCAGACTACATCTGTTTTCTTTGATACACAAGCCCAGAGCTAAAATAGCTCCATTTATCACAGTATGATTGTAGGCAGACAAACCAGCCTGTCTGTTTCCAGATAGTGAAAACAACTGTTATTAATCACAATTACAAGACAAATACCAAAAGAAATTGCACCAGTATTTTCTTATACCCCACACAATAGACCAGTCTTAGTGCTAAGAGTGATAAGGTCAGTAAATAAAACTGATACTATTAGGCTAATTCTCAGCAGCACATCTACTAAGCACTGGAAAAAATTAATCTTGAATATTGTACACAATGAACTGCCAGACGAAAACACTCAAGGCAGAAAATACTTAATAGTATCAGAGGCAGTCATGAATACAACAGGAGCATAAGTAAAACAGAAACCCAGTTTTCCATAGCTGTGAAGTTACAATGTTCAAGCATGCAAGGATTTGAAAATGCTACATAGTATTTTTTTTCTTGTTCAACACATGCTATAAGCAAGGTTTTACATGGTGAGTGCAAATACATCCAAATGTGTGACAAGCTCCAGCTGCTTGGGAGTTAATGGATGAAATGCTACTCACAGTACAATACAGCTGCCACAGCAGGCAGAGCACAATAGCACATCAAGTGGGTAATTCTACATCATACGCGTGAGAATTGACAGGTCCACTACACCACCATATTAAAGATTTAATCAGAGGACAATAAGAGAATATCAAACAAAAAATACTGAAACTGTTTTCACTCATGTGAAAACGCCTACACATCCTGATACTGCTAAAGCAGAGTCCTTTGTGTGTTTCCATCACAAAGCAAAAAAAGCTGCCTGAAAACAGCCACATCTAAAAGTTTCAAGTCTAGGAAGTCACTAACATGTTTTAAAGCACAGCTTCTGCCCTTCATATTTTTCCCCACAGAGAGCTTTGAGAATTACAAAGGTTTTGCCTAGTTTTAAACCATACACTTCCTCTTTGCTCTTCTATCTCTGGCCAGGCAATGCCCCAAGAGAATAGAGAAGAAACGCAGCAAGTTAATCAGTTTCAAGAAGCTAGTGGCACAAATCAAACTGACTTCACAGCAAGTCTTTCTGACATCCAAGCTTACAGCATTACAAAGGACACATGCAGTCAAATTAGGCTATCAAAGTTTGTGGGAAAAGCATATGTAAAGCATCAAGTACATGAAGTATCACTGATATATGACTTTGATTCTTAAACTTAATATTAAAGCACAAAATACCTTGTGAAGATGCTAGCAACACAGGACAAGTAACTCCAAACTCCACAAGAGGAAACTGAATAACTAGATCTTATCAGACAGCAAGCCAGTAAGATCAACACTTACATAACATCAATTACACAACAAATGTTAGATTGCAACATAGCCCAGTTAAAAGTCACTAGCTCTTTTATGTAGATACTTTGCCTAAGTGCTCTGGAATTTGGGCTAACAGCATTCACTGAATCACAAGGGACACTAAACTGTCTTAAAACTGTGGAACTCCCATTCGAAGACTTTGTAACTGAATACATATCTGCACAAAGATCAATAGGAGTGAGAAGTTTCTAGAAAGAATCCCAAAAGATGTTCCCTCTTGACATGCCTCCAATAATTTCACTTAATGCCTGTTCTTTCCATGTTCTACTACAAACTATTTCATGTACTCATTAATATTTAGCAATATCAAAGAAACTAATATTAGAGAACATTACCTCCATGGTGATGTGAAAGACTTCCTCCATTGGCAAGTATTTCTTCTCTAGCAGCTCTCTAAATTTGAAAGATACGGTATTTATTCAACAGCACACGCACAAGATTTTTTCATTACGTGAAATGCTTGCTATTGAAGTCATACCCATGGTGTATGGAAAGTTTCAGAACTAATTAGGGCACACAATATAGGTAAATATCAAGTCTGCAGATAAATGTAAGTAAGAATTTTCTAAATAAACATTATCAAAGCTACAATATTTCAAGTGGTATCACTTACAACAAACATTACTCCCAAATAAAATGTTCTGGATTGCTTTCCCCTTGCTAAAACTAAAGTAGTCCAGTGGCTGGGATGCTCATTTGAAAGACAATTAAGTCTCAGTAAAGAAGCCTGAAAACAGGCTCACAAGAGTGATTCAAGACCCTTATTCAGATCAGAATTTAAACCCAGATCTCAAAGATTCTGGTTGAGGCAGTAAGTTACTTTACAACTGACAACCCTTTCATGGGTGCAGTTTGTGGCAGAAAACAAAATTTAGTTTTTTATGGTAAGAATTATACAAACACTTTAAAGTTCTAGAATCTTCTTTGCCATTCACCTCTGATTATGAATAGTTAGAGAGATCAGAAGGTATAACAATGAAAGCTTTCCTAAGCACAAGCACTACATGTTTTTTTCAAGTAAGAGTACTTTTTAATGAATAACATATATAACTGCATCTCTGCAATTAGAGATTTTTTCAGTCTGCCATAGAACACATATACTCAGTCAACAAACTCACTTTGTTAGGTTAAATTTAATTACTACAATGGAAGACATGCAACCAGGTAATCATACTGCTAACTAATTCCAATAAAAAGCAGTACCCTAGGTATTAGCAAAGTTTCATTAAATAAGCACCAAGTATTACATTCCTCAGTGCCTTACATGCAACAGCATGGGAGCCTCAGAATTTGTAGATAAAAACTTTGCTTGCCAGATTCAAGAGAAATTTCTAAAGAATAAGCATAAGAATCACATCCTAGTTATAAATACTATTTCTCCACAGTCCTATTAGCAATTTTCTGGTGCTGAAGTTTGAGCATATGAAACAGAAAATATGACAAAAAGCAGTTTGGCCATAGTCCTTCTAAGAATTTACATCTTCAAGTTAACAAGGATACTGGTTTCCCCTAACTAGGTAAGTATAACATTTCATCAGCCAAAGTGTTAAGCAGAGTAATTCCAGAGCTCTTTGGTAAATGCTGAAGCAGATTACAACTGCTCTAATGCACCAGACTTAGACCAGCGCTTATCTGGGCCTAACAAAAATAGCATCAGACACTCCCATTTCATTATGCTCTACATGCAGCACTATTAATAAAGCATGATCTTGATAAGTTTACCATGTATTTTATAGATTGAGTATTAAGAAAAATAAGTAGCTTTGTAAATAATGGAACTAAGGAAGACTAGTTTCCCACGGATTTGGGTTTTAAGGTTTAAAGTTTCTGTCACCCAAGAAACTCCAGGTCAAGCTTTCCTATACTTCGGTCAGATGTATTCATCTACTGATGCCTAAAAATATTCATTTGGTAGTCTATTCTCTACTTGATGTATTATCAGCATATACCTCTTTTCCTAGTTGCTAATGATCAAAGCTTTAGGAAAAGACTTTTGAGATCCTTCCTGAAAAATTCAGTTAGCTTGGCCAATGGGTTTAGCATATATTACAGGACATCAGCTTCTCTCCTGTAACTATTGTTCTTTAATACATTACCTCAATTTGTTCATAGACATGAATAGGATCACTAATTCCTCTGTAGTTAAAGGCAAAGTAGAAGTAGACGCATGCACCTGCATCGTAGGTCTGTGTCACCCTGTTGAAGAGAACTGCATTACAAACAAAACTTTATGATATTAAGCCAACCACTATGTGACATCATACAATTCATCAGGTTACTTATCTTATTCAAAAGGGTGGCATATTTTTTAACATTTTTATCCTTTTCCTCATAATTCATGAGCAACTCAATGCTATGACTTTGAAAGCTGACACTTAAGTCATTACACTTGACTCTTGTACATATAAGCAAAAGTTTCATCAAGTGCTACTAATGCCTTGAATTCCCCACTCTTACATGTAATCCACTTGCAGTTTCAAGAGGAAGGCCAAGATTAGTAGTATTTGTAATATCATTACTAGATCTACTTTACCTGTTAGCTAGTAAGTTAAATGACCTCTTTAGTAATCTTCTCTTACTAATCAAAGATTCAAGAAAAATTGTTGAGATTGTTGGCTTACCTACAGGTGGAAAGAGGAGGAAACTGAACACCCTTTTCTTTGCATTCTCTTACTATCCTTTCCTTTACATTTCTACAAAGGTCCAAAACCCTGTAACAGGAAACACATTAAAATATAAAATTTTAGTATGTGATTTTATACAACTTCTAAAAAAAAGAACATCAGCAATCTAAAAAATCATAATCTAATGCAACATAAGACTACCTTCTAAAATCAGAGTTAACTAGCTCTGTTCTAAAAATAGTCCTCATCAAGACCACTGGTACTGCTTTTTCTGCACTGCTCCTGAAGAGCAAGTTTACTTTGAAACATAGTACCTAAAAGCTCTTTTTCATAAGGAAGAGATGTCAGAAGTGTTCAGTAAAAAGGAGGTTACCTACTTCTGTACGTTTTTACTTACTTTCTTAGCAAAATAGTCTCAAATTTTTGACATAGTAGTTGACAAATACAGCAGAAAGCTTGAGAACTTGGAGGTCTTGTAATGCTGCAAGGCCAAACCTGGAGATTCTTCGGCTATGCACTATTCTGCCAGCTTGAAATGTTACAATTCTAGTATGGCAATGAGCTATTAAATCTTGTCATAAGCCATACTTGTTCTTTTTTAAAAAAAAACATACTTGTTTTGTTTTTTTTTTTTTTTAAATCTTCTAGGACAGACCCAGGTGCAACCAAAGTGCTAGAACAACTAAAAGAAATTCCTGTTTTTCAAATAACCATTACTTCAGTAATATGGTCTCCCACAAAGGTCTGTAGTGCTATTCTGTACAATTCAGATTAAGACATTTTACACAGATTTAAAACTACTTTAAAGATTAACAGAATAGAAGAGAAACTTAACCATTTAATGAATAAGCAAGTCAGCTAAATATTTTATTCAAATATCTGCTACCTGTAAGGAACAAGTCAATCAGTTTATGGAAAGTTACATGGTTCTTAAGAGTCAAAGTAGAAAAAGGTTTTCAAAGCTTTTCCTTTGGTAAGGATAATTTTTAATATTTTCTTAAGTTTTAGATAAAAATTCATTCTCTTCTGAAATGAGGAAAAGGCAAAACAAATTGTTGAGTAAGCAGTTAGCATGCTTCAAAATCTAAAGCTAAAGTAAAATGAAGAGCACTTTTGCTTTAAAATTGCTCTCACACTTCTTCCACTCACTTAATATAACTTTGCCAATTTTCAAACGGGCTGGAATTTATCACTGCCACTAAATTCAACAGCAAGGATACAGGCTTGCCAGCTTAAGTCATCATTGCCAGCTTAAGTCATCAGACTTTGCATTGAATGCTGTAAAGCTTTGATTCAAATCACCTTAGATCCTGCTTAAGAGAATTCCAGCTTACCAAATGGACAGAAGCATCCAAACTTATTTTGTATATTAAACACTGCTGCAGTGAAATATTTCTCAACCATATCGAACAGAAAACATAAGCTTAGGAAAAAGATCTTAATCTTGGGCAAAAGTTACCTTTTTCGTTTTTATTTCCCTATATTACTGGAGAAAACCCCCCACTTATTTAAATACACTTAAAGGTTTTTTTTATCTTCACCACAGACTTCTCTGAAATATGCAGCTGATCCCACACACATGGCTGCTCATCACCCATTGCAGTTATTGTCACCAATGTGCAGTTTCAATTGGCAAGTTCAATGGGCAATTTCAAGTTCTAAATTTGTTACAATAAGCTAACCTATGTAGAAATATTACTGAATGCTTGATACATTGCATTTACAAAATCCTGATAAGTAATTTACTAGCAAGAACACATAGGTGCAAGACTTGAGGCACATCAGGGAGCACTAAATACATACAAGGCCTAAATTAAGTATCCCCATGAGCAAACATGAGTTAGGAATAATTTGAATGAAATCAAGTTTTAAGAAATTCTAAAGAGTAATCACAATTTACCTATCCCAAGGAACAGATGTCTCAAATGATTCTCCTATTACATAGTAATCCAGGCCCAGATCCTAGTAAATAGAGTGAGGAAATTATCAGTAACATTCAGCATCAACATCCAGTGTATGCTACACAGCTAACAATTGAACAACTTTTTATTTTCTATGAGAAAACCAGAAATTTTAATTTAGCAAAACCACCCATCTGTCCCAGTGATGTAAGTTTATTAGTATGGAAATAATAGGGAAGCTCTTAAAAGACAAGGATGACAAACATTTTGATACCAAGGCTACAGTGAGAACTTGTCAGATAGTCAGTATGTCTACACTAATCAAGCACTTGTATAACCATAGCATCCAGTCAAGAGCTTCACTGTGCTAACCATCATAACAACTAGTAGAAATATTTATTTAGAATGTAGTTACTATCTAGGTAGAATAAAGACAAATACCTTCCCATTTTACATATAGCATGCTGCAATAGAGCGAAATTCAGTGATTTGTCCCTGACTATAAAAGACAAATAAAATCAAACAGTTGGGATATGCATATTATTCTGAAAAATAAATAATCTCAAATAGTAAGACTAAAATTCATAAGAAGAGCTGCAGCAGTTCAGACAAAATCTTGGAATTCTGATTCAAACCACATTCAAAAGCAGATCTTCTGAGAGTAAAAAGCACATGAGTATTTCAAGTACTCTCCAAGACTCTGATTCCATTCAACCTGTGGATTCTTCAATCCAATTTTCTCTATCCTTTATGAGAAATTATTTTTTTAACAAGAATATAAAGTAATGTCTTTATGGTGTTTTGCAGGTGAAGTTCCACTAGTCAGAAATGGAAGAGATACAACCTCTAGGAGAAGTCTGAGATATCATCCAAGGCAACCTGCACTTTGATTTCAGAGAAGGCATCTTCAAAAAGACATCTCTATGTTTTGTTATATTAATTAACAGAGTTTCAGCAGACAAACAAAAGCTGACCTACCCGAAGGTACGCGATGACAAATGTCAGCATGTATCCTCTCTGTCCATTATCTTCTCCTGCTGCCAAGCCACTGTAATTTACAAGATCTTAATTCACTTTCCAGCAAAGGAGTCACCAGTTTACAAAAATATTTGTAAAATAACTTTGATTATCAAACATATGTGCAAGTGTAGCCGCCTAAGCTGTGTTAAAATAGTTGAAAATAGTAGGGTCTCTTCACTAAAACCCAGAACTTACTTCAGACCAGACCTTTAACTCTTTGCACTTGTCTTTTCATTCAGTAACCAGAAGAGAGATGAACATAACAAAACATTTGATGTGATCTTAAAATAACAGTCTTCAAAACTCACAAAAGAGCAGAGAAACACAAGTTGACATAGTATATCCTGGATATTAATTTACAGGAACATGTGTAACTACATTTCTGTTGAATGTTGAATTTGTGCACAGAAAATTCTGAAGGATAGACACATTAGACTATAAAAGCATTACATGGTTTAGCATTTTAAACCAGGTTAAACCGTTAAGCACTTAACTAACAGCCTTAACTAAGCAGGCCAAACAGCACCATCTTCTAACAGCCTTATCAATACACCACCATCTTGAAATACCAAAATACAAAAGGGTTCATGGTAGAAGTAATAGAAAGAAAGCACAATGAAAACACAAATTTCAGAAAGGATAGCCTTGAAATGGATAAAACAATACTTATATGTACATTTGAATAGCTGAGACCAATATTAGCAAAAACTTTCTTAAAAATAAAAAGAGTACATCTTGACAAATCACACTTTTGATGATGGCTTTTATCAGTCATGCTTAATCAAAGCAGAAGAAACTACCTGATCACTACTCAGCCTGCCACTTCAATGAGTGTTTTCTGTTCCTTTGTAAGGACATAAAACAGTCTGTGGGACAGAAAGTCACTGCACTCCTTTAACCAAACAAGCTGCTTCTATTCATATGCTCCCATCAATTCTGCAAAAATTTAATATTACCCTTATGATTTTACCTCCCCCTTCTGTAGTCAAAATGTAAATCTAGTATTGCAAAACAAGCCACTTCCATGCCAACAAGTAATTAAAAGGGATGGTTTCTATTTTAATAACATCAATTCTATTTAGTAAAATATTGTATTACAATACATAGAGAGCTGAAGGTTTTCAGTGAAGTTGCCTAGGAGTTAGTGCAAGGCTTATTTAACAAAGAGAACATTCCATAGCTAATCGATTGCTGCCACTTCAAACTAGTAAACTCAGAACATATCCATACAGTAATCACTACAAAAATACAGTAGACCTATTTTTTCCTAGATAGTTAATTCCCAGTTTCACACTGAAAAAGTTCTTTGAAAAGCATACCCAAACTTGGTGGCAATATCATAGACTTGTTTTTCATGTTGAAGAACCTTCTCTCTATCACCCTCGAAGAGCAAGGTAGCTACACACAGTACATTGGGATCAAATCCTTTAAACTGCGAAGAGAGACAAACTTTGCATTATTCATAATCTTTGTGGTAGAATACAAACAACAGGTTTTTACTTTTCAAATACATAGCATGTGCTCTGGTCAATAAACATTGCTGCAACAGAGAGAAGAGTTTTTGGGAAAAAAAAATCTTTCAAGAATTTACTACTAAAACATTTGAGCTTTTCCTTTACAGGACACAAGTCAATTGAAATAACAGATATTATCTGTCACCTTTTTCCTCCTGTTAAAAAGCAGGATACACATAACAGCTGTCTATCTATGCTGTAGAAAAAAACGTGTCGTAAATGCTTTGAGCAATGGAGACATTTATATTCTATGTACTATTCATGTTTTAAAGTAGGAAGATGACTATGACCACCATAAATGTCACTGCTCTAAGAATAGTTGTATCAGCAGTGTGCCACAGAAAATCCCAGTACCCCAATAAAACATCATGAAAACTATGACAAAGCTGAATATACCTCACCAGGCAAAGGACCTGTCTTACCCAATAGTCCTACAAAAACAGTGTAGCTAGTAAACAGAAAGAAATACTTTTACTACAACGATAATAGACCTTTATTTCTGTCCTTGGAGTTTAAGATGCTATTTACAGTCCCTCCTTGTCCTAGAACCACTTTCATTTAGTATGAATCCTTTCATCTATTCTGCCATCTTTTGGCTGTAATGATCAGTTAACACCTTACAGTTGTCTTCAAGAGGCACTCGAGGAAATACAGTTCCTAGCAATATCTGGCATTCTTCTATCAGTGAACATTCCCAGATTCACAGATGAAATAAGGTATAAGATGGATTTGAGCATATTGGTCCCAATAACACCTGCAATAGTAGTCTCAGGATCATTAAATTGATTCCTTTTGTCTATTCCTACCTCCCATCTCAGCTGGGAATTTCTCTGAAGTAGCAGTTGCTCATATGCACCAGGGGAGTGAGCCCTAACATAAGTGCCAAGGACTGGTCACCAGCCTGGGATCTATGCCTCACTATTCCATAGCATTTCTCTTGTTGCTCCACAGTTTTTTTTCTCCTGAAGAGCTGAAAGAATTCTAACTGGCATACAACATCCCTTTGTGATACAATATCCCAAGAAGCAGTGATGTTTGTTGCTGACTGCAGAAAGAGTAGATACTGCTGCCTTAGGATTGTTTCAACCTGACAACAATCTTCCTGCCAAAACTGTTACTATTTAAGATATTCCTGCACTACAGCAGGTCAGGGTAGAAGGCAAAATTTCTGGGCCATCTCAAAACCTAAGAGGTATTCCCTACAACAGAAGTCCCAAGACACATGTTATTTCCCACTTCAGTAGTCCAAAAAAAAGCTGCAGAATCAGTACCAGCCACTGTATTTCAAAAGTAAGCACACTCTTTGAAGGCACTTGGTATTATCATATCGCTTCATATGAGTATCTGTTCATATTTATATGAATAGAATGTTTAGCTCCTCTTATCTAACAGTTATCCAAATCCATGATCATGCAATTTTCTACATTTGAATACCCTTATTTACAGGAACTCTCTAGTTGGCTATTATGGAGGAAAATTCAATATTAAGATGAATTATTTAATACAAAAGCCTAAGTGGTGTCATGTTAGCACCAAATTCTAGGTTAAAAAGGGATGAATTCCAGAAAGACAAAAAGCCAACTGATTTGGGCAAATCAAGACAAATATCTTGAGATTCTCACTAAATTCTAGTTCATTGTAATAACAAGGTATATCGTGCCTTGACAAAATTTGTGAAGTAAAAAAATATTCTATAGTGTTAGCCCCCCTCCATCAGTACTAACTGATAATCACTGGTCTGCAAGCTGGATAAACTGGTTCCAGTCTCCCCGTCACTGACTTACTGCCAGACAAAGGCACACTAATCTCAGCTACAGGTATGACCAGTGACAACAGCTCTCATGTAATAACTCCTCAAACAGATAATCTCAGTTTGAATTAAACCATCTTTAATATATCTCACATTGCAGTATCAGTTATACACAAACTCAGCTGCATTAGAAGCAGTTTGGCAAAAAATCTTGAATTTTATGAATAGCATGCGAAGTTTGAAACAGTAGTAACCCCCAAATTACCTTCGTGATGTAGAATTTCTTCAGTCCATCCAAAAATGATGTAAAAATGGAAGCAACTTGTGGTTTAAGAGCATGACCTTTGGCAAGAAGCAGAAAAAGGTGCATTAAGGCAAACAATGCTCTTAAGATTCCTACCTCAATGGGCAAATAAAAAATGGCTCGGTAGTCAAAATTGCTAGAATCACTTGGAGTGCTTAGATTATCAAAATCAAAGAGAATTCCTTCTAATTATTTAGAAGACGATTTAGGAAAAGGTTTCATTACTTTTTTGAAGACATATGCTCAACCGTGCACAAATATTTGATGCTTTAATTAAGGTTGCCCTAGATTAGATTTCACAAGCCTATGGTACATGAAAAATTTTTAAAAGAGTATTTAATTAGCTTTTACACTGCAAAACTAAGCAAAAATCAGTGACCTTTTTTTAAAGTTATGCCAAAATCACTGAAACAAACAGCCAAAAATGGCGCAAGTTAGAAGTTAAGCAAGTTTTTCTTTAACAGCTATGTCACTCGTGTGAAGTTTTCTACATAAAGCTGGTAATTGCTTCCTTAATGACAAACGGGGAACTAAAATTACCAGGATATATAAATGGTGTCTTGGAGCCTGTTAAATTAACATCTCTGCCTCAGGACTGGGTTTAATTGAGATGAAAGTCTTTTACTGTTTGTTCCATTGTTTTCAGTCACAAACAACTTCTGAATTCCCATTACTGCTTCACTCTAGCAGCCTGGCATCTGGCCTACATGCTGTGAGCCCAATTCATAAAAAGTTATGCACCATTTACATGATACTTTCTTCTAAAATACTTTACAAAGTATTTTCTCCTGAATAACACTTGAACTTCAGCAACCAACTACTCCTCTTTCCTCATCAGTAAAGAGGGACTCTCTCTGCCAACACAAACCAAGGAATACACCTCCAAGCACACTTAACTAAGCACACAAAAAAGCATCACATCATAAAAGGACATGAATTTGTTAAAGCACAATCTAAAAAATTACTTAATAGTGCATCAAGAAAAACCTATATCGACACACCTCAAACTATGTTTCAAGCCTGTAATTGGTCAAATTGTGCTTCCCAATGAAAAACCAAAAAAAACCCCACTGCCTTCTGTTGGAAATGTGTGAGTGAAAGAGTGTAACACAAAAGAGGGAGCAAAGCAATCAGCAAGGTTTGCTGGGCTATTGGGTCTAACAAATCCCCATTTCCTTGGTTTGAAAAATGAAATTCAGCTTTCTCAACATCATCATATTAATGCCATTCGAAGTTGAGATTCATCACTGAGGCTTCTGTACAAAAGAAGTTTCAGAAATTCTGACTTGTTGAAGTGGTACTAAAATGGGGGTTTTTAAGATCAGTCACACTTCACATTTTCATCTTCTGGGTGCAATCAAAATAGCATGGTCTCAGCAAGATCTTCAAGTTCTGCAAGCTATTAGCTTTTGGGTAATATTATTTGGGAAATAATTTTGGAATTTAAGGTCACCACGAGAGCATCTTGAGCCAGAACACATCTTTTGTCAAATTTACTGGAGTTAAAGTAACAGGTTTCCCTAAGAAATGCTAAAATATGATTGTTCTGCACGTCTGACAATTTAGGTATTTGAACTACGTGAAATTTCACAAAATCTTTGTCTTGAGTAATCTTCTAGTAACTTCATTGACTTAAAGCCCATAGCTTAGTTGTATTTCCACACAATTACAGCATTTACTACATCTGAGCTTCTTTTGAAAACAGATAGCTCACTTTGGACAAGTATGTTACTGCTTCTCTCCCACCCAATCAAACATTGCCACATCAGAATATTTTCAAAAAACCTGCTACTTCTAAGGAATCTGTATATCAATTGTGATGCTTTCATGAAATTTAAAGGCATCAAACCACTTTTCTTCAAAGTTAAGTGCTGGCATTCTAATTTTTTTTCATATCCAACTTCTCATTAATACTCCTAGGAAGAAAATGTTTCAGGTACTGTACTTCAAAACTATAATCTCTGCTCCTTTACAGTAAAATAGAGAAAGTGACTCCAGAATTCCAAACTCACCAGTAGACTATGCCAAGAAAAGAAAACGTAGCCAAAAAACCCTATCTCATGTATTTATATGCAGATCGCAGCTCTTTACTGACTCAATTAGTTGATACTATTTCCCCAGAGACAAAGACAGGCTTCTGTTTTCTGAAACTACATGTTGTGGCACTATCTAGAGTTCAAACTTTGGGTTCACTGCCTTCTTTATCTAGTTTTGAGCAAAAGAATTATGACCCAAAACAGACTTAAGCTACTCAAAACCCCTTGGAAACAGATACTCCTCCAAGATGATCTACATACTTACCAAACTGAAACTGTGCGTTGTCGACAAGGCGAATTGATGCAGGAGCACATCTCTTGGAGGTAAAGTTAGGAGAATAAGAGGGAGGAAGAATGAAATGATTGTTGGTTTTAAAATTCATTATAATCAAAACTTCACTTTAAAGTAGCATACAAGAAAGCACACTTTGATACCAGGGACCTATGGACATCATCATCATTGAAAAGGTGTGACTATAAGCTTGTTCTTGCTTGAATAGCAACATCTCTTAAGTATGGCTGGATGCAATGCATTGAGAATTTTCAGTTTAACCTCAAGCCAACATAGGAACAGTAAAAAACCTTGACCTTCAAGTTTAGAATGTTTTTCTAAATTGGCATATGAACTAAAGATACAATACTTGTTTAGTGTATTAAGCTTATGTTGCTGTGTAATCAGAGATACACTTAAAATACAAATCCACTGGAAAAGTCTAATTGTTGAGGGTTAACCCTGGCATGCAGATAAGCACTACACAGCTGTTGTACACAACCTTCTCCTCAGTGGAATGCGGGAGAAAAATCAGAAGGGCAAAAGTGGGAAAATATGCAGGTTGAGATAAAGACAGCTGGATAAGCAAAATGGGAAAAATCCACAAAATTATGATGCAAAAAGTAATCAATTATCACCAGCTGACCAATATCTAGCCAGTCTTCAAGCAGTGGTAACCCCTGGGAAACTCTCCCCTCCAGTTCTACTTATGATCATGATGTTTTATGGTATGTGCTTTTGGTCAATTTGGGTCATTTGTCTCAACTGTTTTCCCCTCCAGCCTCCTGTCTGCTCCCAATATACTTGCTGGTGGGAAGAGTAATAAACAGAGAAAGCCTTGATACTGTGTACACACTGTTCAGCAATAGATAAAACACTGCAGTAGTAACACTGTATTGGTCACAAATACCAAAGTTAACACCACACAGGCTGCTACGAAGAAAGTTAACCCCATCCTGGTTAGACCCAGTACACTAATGCTCTGCCATCAGACTGCAATTAAAAAAATCCATGCCTGAGTCTAATCTAGGTTCTGCACTATGCAGAAATCACAGACAGTAAGAACAGCTGCCTTCAATTAGGTCATCTTCATGCATATGCCTACATTGTATAATCTCTGATGGTCATTTCCAGTCATACTGAAATGTATGACCAGAGGAATGCGACAAAGTCTGAATTTTAGGCTAATCACCATCTAATCACATGGATATGGAAACAATTATCTTTCACTTAATTTCACAAGTTCACCCTTCGTAATACCATTAATATATCTTTGGTCACCCAACAGGAAGAAGGAACATGAAAAACTAGGATAGCTCACCAGGCAGGTTGACAGAAGAAAGCTGTATGAGGAGTTTTAAATGAGACCAACCCATCCACAACCTGCAGGTTGATTATTCTTACATTAAAGTGGATGGCTACATAAAAGAAACAGCTTTTCAGACAGCAACCGTAATAGTTACTGAGATTGATGCAAGGGACAACAGAAGAGAAGAGAAGAATAAGTAGGTCAAACTCAAATAAGCAGTGAAACAGTAGCAGCAGCAACAGAAGCTTAGAAATGGAGCAACATTAAGTGGCAAATCGTGCCTCTTTTTCCCCCCTTTTCTAACTAAGACAGGGAGAAGACACTAGTTCCCTAACTGACTTTATATGTTCATCAACCATATGATTAAGCATTCCCAAAAAGTCTGCTTAGGTACCTTTAATAGGAAGGACAAGCACTAGCAGTAGAAGCACGACAGAAAAACTGGCAAGTGCTGCTGACTAGCATATACATGTCATTCACATATCAGTTTGAACATCTGGCTTGGAACATTAAGCCATTAATTTAGACCAATCACTGGAAAAAATGTAAAGCTGTGTTTAGTTTGGCATTAATTAAAATATTTATGAAATGACTTCCCCAATTCAGGGTACATTCTACCATTCATATGTACAACTTGATACATTTTGCACTGAGCAAAGAACAGTTAGTGGAGAAAGAGGCTAGCCAGTGTAAGATTTGTTTGGAAGCATAGCCTAGAGGAAAAAGTGTTACAGAATTTGGGTACCATGTATGAGTTTTGCTACCTGAAACCATCTGACTACACTATTTTCTATTTAAATACTACAATGTAAGCACAACTGCACCTTGAAATATCCACCTCACCTGAACACATCACTGTGCTCCAGGAACTGAGTTCTAAACACAAGCCACATCCTTCCATTGCATTCCTTTTGTTCCTTTGCCACTTCAGCGCCATAAATTCAACTGCCTTTTACCTGTGTGCTGCAACTTAATTCCTTTAAATACTGGTCCGTTTTATAAGTAATCTGAGGGTAAAGTTCTCAGTTGAAGGAGATGCAAAGCCAAATTTTTTGTGCCGCAATACGCAAATAACTCGCACTGAAACAAGCCATTACAGGCCTGTCCACATTTTGGCTCAGAATACTAAGCAAACTCATAAAATGCTCAGTCCTCAACTGCATAATTTCCAAAAGCCTCATGGACCATATACTGTTTCATCGACCATATATGCTTATGAGATTCCTATCTCAGATTCTCGGTTATCAAATGCCATAAATACTAAAGCATCTACACATCCCTACTGCTAGAATCCATGTCCTTGAGTGAAGTCAACATCCAGCTTTTCTTTACCTGTTTTGCCACTTCCCTTAAGCAGGCCACCCCTCTTTCAAAGTTGGGGAAGACCACAGAGCCATACTTCTGGTACTCAGGGACTGGACGAATCTTTATCGTAACTTCAGTAACCACTCCAAGGGTTCCTTCGGGAGAAAAGAAAAACTGAGCAAAATTTTGCAGGATAAACTTCTCGCAAGTTACCCAACTTAACAACTGCTTACCAAGATGCTGTAAGTTAACATAAATATGAAATCCCAAAAATTCAGTTTGCAGTAGTAGTGGATTTATATCTGACTAGCTACATGGTGAATTCTTAGAAAAAATTCTCTAAATGATGAAGTTTGTCACTAGACTTGTAGGCTAACTCCACAGGTCTGTTTAAAGCACCGTTAAAAGCTGTTTAACTTCACAGTCCCAATTAAGGTCTCAATATATTATCCTAAAACTAGAAATTTTGTCTGCGCAATGCCACCCATTGACGCACTGGAAACCACAGCACTAAAGATGTTCAAACAATCAATCCACTACAGAAGCTGAATTAAGATGCAGTAAGTGAAGATGCTGGGTTTATACCTTCAGATCCCATAATGAAGTGATGGATATCAGGTCCTGTTGACATGCGAGGTACTTGACAGTTTTTTTCTACTATTCCTCTAGGAGTTACCATTTTTATATGAATCACCTGTTTAAACAATTTCAATATGCAATTATTAGAAATACTAGCATTAAGCGCAATTTTTACTATATTTCTTTTCTACAAAACATATTAAGCTTGATATAGTTCAGCTTTGTAGATTTCAGGCATTCTGTAGGCAAGCCCAAGAACTTTTGGATAACCCAAGGATTATTACCAACAATTGTTTATAACACAGCATCGTACCACACAACAGACTGTTTCCAGTTCTTTGGCAAATTATATCAGCTGTTGGCTACATGCAGGAAATACCAGTTAAAACTGTTTTGCTTCTCAGTATAGACGGAACTTCAAAAATACTAGGATTTTAATCCAGAATATATACAGTACTTCAGAGAAAAAAGTGAGGATTTAAACTTTGCTTAAGTTTTGCTTTAGAACTGCTGCTCGATAAGGCTAATATAATTCAGCCATTGATTGCTACAGAAATATTTCCATTAGGAGGAAAGAAAGAAGTAAACTTTGTGAAATAGATTATCCATATAAAATTTGCCATAAGACTGACACATATGTAGGGCAAGAAGGTTGTTTTTTAAAACATATTTTGCAATACTTTTGCTTCCAGCTATATTCAGGCACATGCAATAGAGCCTGGGATGGGGGGGCTTTTTATCTTCTACTCAATTATTTTATACCAAGGAAGGGTGGAGTTTCAGATTTTTTTTAGTGATGCCTTTAAATGAAGTAAAATTACTGAATTTCAACTAATGGCTTTAAAACTTTCAAGCACAGGTAGTTAAGTAATTTTCATTATATGCAATTTATGAACCACTGATTCTGCAGCAAGTGGATTTTAGGCAGATTATATAACACATTGTTTCAAGATACAGAAGTTTCCTCAGAAGGTAAACACTTCCCTGAAACATTCTCACTGTGACATTTTGAAACTCATGAACTGTTCCAAATCAATTTTCAATCCTATTTCCTCCTAATGAAAATTTCAGAAGCTGTTTAAGCCTGAAGTTATGCTTTCGTAAGAGAAAAGCCCTTTGCTTCACAGCTCCCAGTACAAGCCAAATTATACCATTCAGTTACATTTCAGGCAGCAGGGGAACGATGACACCCTGTAAGTGCTACTAGTTTTAGTTCAGCCAGGTCTACTGAATAAAAACTGTGTAATTCCTGCCAAGCTCAGTCACTGACTGTGAAGTGTCACATCTGTGCACAGAACAAACAGGTCTGAACTATGTGCTGACGAAAAGGCCTGAGGTGACAGGGATACATTACCTAGAGTGCACTGCAAGAAAGGAGGAAAAAATTCACATGTGGAAGGGTTATTGTACAAACTACCAGAGAAAGTTGAAAGTTTGAAGTAAAAATGCAGGCAAAGTCTGAACAGTGATGATTTAGCTTCAATATCTTCAATATAGTAATTATAACAGAAAATGTGGACTTCAAAATCAAAGTGTGCTTAAAACAAAAAAAAATTACTCGAGTTAATATAAAAATGAACCATTTTGATGCTTAAAACAAATTCAAGAGTAGAACACTGCCATTCCCAGTGTATTGCTTCCTTCCTCTGGGTTCCTATAGACTGTGTAGTGGCATTAGATTTTACCATTGTGCATCCACATGGCCAATTAGATCAGCCTACTGATCTGAGAAAAACTACTAGCCTAGGGGGATCCATAAAGGTGGAAAGAGCTAGCTTGCTGTCAGAGTTAGATAGTCCAACTAGACATCTTCAGGTACACACAACAAATAGGAGAAAACATGGGAATTCTGGAATCACCCTAAAAGCTTGACAGGATTGTTACACTGGGTTAACAGAGAGCACAAACTGGTAGAAGACAGCACCAGAGTCAGGACAGGGTAACAACTCCTTAGGCTACACAATGAGTACCCAAATGAAAATTACTTTTAGATCAGTGGTAAAGATTATTACCATTAATAACAAAAGCAAGCAAACAAGCATTTCAGTCAAGATTTGATGCCAAAACTGTATCACACGAAGAACCAAAATTTACTCTTCCTTTCTCTCATTGTGAGTCATTATAAAAGTTAAATCTCAGAATAGAATAATTAGAAAAACTATTAAAACTATTTACCAGATCTTCAATGTTTCCATAGATGTTTTTTTTCATGCCTGATGCTCGTGTTGCTACCCATCCTCCTAGCGAGCTGAACTCCATGGAGTCTGGTTCATGGCCTGTACAGAAGCCACTTTCAGCAAGCTAAAGAAAGAAAAAAAAAAAAAACATCCTATAGAGCCTGCATTGGCTTAGTACTCCAAATTCAATACTCTGCATTTGTGTGGTTTGTTGTTGTTGTTGTTGTTGTTGTTTGTTGGTTTTTTTTTCCAAAAATAAGTATCCCAATCACACACCAATTTGTTTAAGCACAAGTTTTATCTTTGATATGTACATGAAATGCAAATTGATTCTAGTTCTACTGTGCACAGACTGTGCCACGTATCACCCTATAATACTCCTGTCCCATATTCTAAAGGACCTCTATTGTTCAAAAGAAGGTGCGAATTCAAATACATATAGAAAAAGTTATGACTAAGTAAGTGCCAACTTTGCACAAATGCTGCCAATAAATAAGGCACTTAATCTCTTGTTCTTTCTATCCTAATTTCTATGCAGCAGGTCTGACAGAAAATGCGAGTAAATTGCCTGTACTTAATTCTCTCAAGGAGAGATGTGTTTTAATACACAGCCATCTGGTTGGGCTTCCTGTACGTAACATTGTCAACTATTTGCGATGCAGATCACACATTCCTGTACATTAGGTAGTCACTGGTTTCTCATTTTTCTGTATTAAGTTGGCTTTGCCATCTGCACAGCATCTGAGGTTGACTGGATGCCCCCAGAATTACAACACTGAAGCTGTTGGAGAGCAAGAATTAAAGACCAGGTAGTCTCACATTAAGTGGTAACTGCATTAATGCCTTTGAGATAATCAACCTGCACTGACCAACTGATAACAACGTTTGACAAGTGTATTTAAGTACACCACACAATGTGGATCATGAACTATGTTCTGTTGTAGGAAGTGGTTCTACACTAGATGGGGATTCATCTATCTCATGGTTCTCTCTCATATTAGAGGAACTTGTGGCTTTGTATGTTTACTGGTCATATACTAGGAAGGGTTGGTTCATAGCCAATGCATGTAATTCTTACCACACCAGCTGCACGAAACACACAGGGATTAAGCTAGACTTCAATGCTTTGGACAGGACATGAGGGACACCTAAGAAAAATATGAAAAAATACTAGCCACTTAACAAAAAAAAATACCTGTTTTTCCAGATCTTGTCCAACAATGCCAGCTTCTACACAAGCTGTTAAGTTTTTCTCATCTATCCAGAGAATCCGATTCTGTTGAAAAGCCAACCAAAAGCAAGAACCAGTGTTAAAAATTTTTGTTTCTTTCCCTTCCTAATGCTAGGATCAACATGCTTGGTCATACAATTTACTATTAATACCACTCCAGTTATTACAGCAGTGGAAGCTGAGCCTCCTCACACCCTCAAACAGATACACAAAGATTTCAATTTATAAAGTCACCACTATAAGAGAGTAACAGACTTATTAGTCAATTTATACTAGGAATGTTTACAGAAACAAAGCAAAGAAGCCAGAAATAATTAAGTCAAAACTCTTACAGGGGTTAAGCAATACAGCGATTTCCACAATTAACATGACTGAAGGCACCTGAATCTGACTATCTGAACATTAAGAATACACCAAGAAAAGTACTCTTCAGTGTACTGCATGGGTTAAATAGAGTGCATTCAGTTATTCCAGTTCAGCTCTTGGATTTTGACCCAGTACACCAGAATGCCACAGTAGGTACATACTTTAGAAGTTTAAGATACTTGGAAGGATTACATCATGTTGTCTGATGAGACTCGCTGTCCCATCAGCCTATTCTACTAAACAGGAAAAGTAGGAAACACTGCAAGTTACATGGTGCACTAAGCACGATTCTCCATGAGGACAGTTCACATGAAGGAGAAACTTAACAAATATGGTTAAGGAACTTAACAAATATACTAGAGACACTATAGAAGTTTCTGCTGCCCCTCTTATTGTTTAGTACACTTCTGGTGTACTTCGATAACTCTGTGTATTAATATTATATGGAAGGAGAACAGCTGTAACTTCTTTCTGCCTTGATTTTTCAAATTAAAGAAATGTGGACATCTTGTAGTCAAACTTAAATTTAAAAAAATTGTCTCCCCCTCAAAAAGTATGGGCTAATTATTCAAAGCCAATTAATTCAGCTCCTTCTAGACCCCTTCAGTTTCAACATAAACTGTATAAATTATCTCAGATGCTTACATTAATCAGTTTTTATCTAATACAGACACTACATATTTATGTTAATATATATACATATTAAAAAAGTAAAGCTCAGGCAACCATCTTAACTGCACCGACATACACAGGTTTTAACATTCTGACAATGCTTCTTTTCACCTTAATTTCCTTATTTTCCCTCTTCATTAATGTTTACAAGAATTGGCTGGCAGTCTTTCAAGACGCATGAAAGTGGTCTATTTTCTAACTCAGTGCATACTTACATACCTAGCTGACAAAGAACCATGATAGTAAGAATTAACAACATCTCCTTCCCACTCCCCAACAGAAGTCAAAGCTTTGGCCTATAAATCAATGAGTTGAAATGAAGGCCTGAGTCACTACTGTACTCCTTGGATTCCACTCCACACAGACATCTGAAGAGCTTCCTTCAATATGCAACTAAAACCTCTGCAGAAAATACCACTTTGTAGCTAGAAACAGAGAGAAACAAGTTTAACTGAAGGACCGCTGACTGAGTGGAGAAAATGGAGCCCAATACCAGATCTTGCCTTCAAGCCTAAAAGAATTAAGCTGAGAAGGTATTTGGAGGCAGTAGAGCCTTACATCAAAGATACAGAGCTCTTCCTGAAGCATCTCATTACTCTGTAGCCATAAAGCTATCATTCTAAAAGTATAAAGCTCCTTCATAATAGAAAGATGAAAACTAGCAATAAATTTCACAGAACTTCATTTCTAGACTGCCATAAAGCTATGAACTTCACATTCTCAAGATGTTATCTACACAAAAAAACCTAGACTTTTTTTCTTGAAAGTTTATCCTTCAAGCTGATTTATAGATACTAGGTCACCTTTCTAGTCTTTGCTTTGAGTAATTTAAAGTATGCAAAAACTAGTGAAATTCGCAATAGCAACTTCCTCTTAGCCTTTCATTTAACATCAGATACAAGTTCCAGTATAGAAGATGAGTGGCTTCCTCTGATTTTCACTTAAAGTTGCTATAAGAAGACTCAGCAGTGACTTTTTTCTTATTAAATACATACAAGTCATATGAAGTAGTACAGGGCTAACATCAGAGAAATATCACTTAAGCTGAAGGAGTATCAATTTAATCATGGTACAGATTAATATTTCCATCCCTACTTTATTCTGGCAAAGAAAGAAGTGTCCTGTGATCACCAGTGTAACTGTGAGATGTAACCGTAGGATAATTTAAAAAAATTAAAACAAAACTTTAAGAGAGGCATACCATTTGTGATGTATCCAGTGAGACAATTGTTCTTTTTTCTTCTTCAGGACATTCAAGGGCACTAGAGACACTTGTCCCTCCTGCAAATATGGGAATGATATTGTGATCATAAAATTCTCAGGTAGCTTTTCTTCCAATACCATGTCTGTCTCCCTCCTTTCTGATATGGAACTTAATAAAGTAAGATCACTGAATGAACTGTTTGAGGCTAGTGATTAGCCTTTTAGGGCTATCCCTTCTCCCAGACTGGGTTTCGCAAAATCAAGGCAGCAGTGGAGCTGGACAACACTTTAATAGCACTCTGTAAAACACCGTAACATTCTGTGACCACCTCAGTTACTTTTGTTAAGGCCAGCACAGAGTTTTAAAACAAAGAGGGATACAAATTTACAAAGCCTTGAAGAAACGGAGAGCTACAGTCGGAAGCCACTACAGTTCAATCTACAAAGCTGATTTAAGAAGTCTACCTAATACAGGAATGTAATACTTATCTAAAAGTAAAATATAGACTGAAAGGGCATAAGTATAAAAAAAATGGATTAAATCAAATGTCAGACTTCTCCAGTTTTCTAATATGTCTCTACAGGATGCCAAGAAGCCTTTCATTTCTCTAAGACTGCAAAAGCCACTGGAAAAGAGAGAATAGGGTGCTAAAGACATCTACAGCAGGCTACAAGAAGGTCAGACAATGGCAAGTACAGAGACAGTGCCAGCTAATAAAACACTCCTCAAGAGCAGTAAACCCCACCACCTTTGTTTTCAGTGACATTTTCCTTAAATACCGTAATAACTCCACAAGCTGATTGTAGTTTACTATAAACAAACTTGGAAAACAACCTGAAGATCTTTCTGTGTCCTGGTCAGTGAACAAGAAATAGTCAATATCACTGCCTTCAGTTACAGCAGTTTACCAGTACCAAGGGTGCCTTTTAACAGTCTTGCAGGTCTCCAGATGCATCTGGCAAGGGTGAGACTGTTTTAGGGAGGAACCAGCTCCACAAAACTGGTATTGCCATCTCATCATCTCAAACAGTAAATATCCTTCCTACAAAGGCTATACTCCTACAGCATAAGCAAGTACCAAATAAAACACACAGATTTATACCACAGATTTAAGAGTTTTTGACAAAAACTTTCCCACAGAATGAGCTCACGAAAGCTGACAACCCATGTTCCCTGAGCTCTATGTCAAAATAAGGTAGCTCACACCTCTACTTCAGCAGGCTTAAAGAAAAAAGCATCCACAATTAAAAACCTGAAGTCCTCAAGAAATTCTTTAGGCTGAGAGACATAGATTGTACAGGCCTTTACCTGTACTCTGTCTGTTGAACACTTCCTGAAAACCCCTTGCCACAGGAATCTCTACCTTTCAAACTGAAAAATACCTAAAGGGAAATCGGAATTATTTTGCAGTACAGTATTTGAATGCAATCCTCCCTGAAACTATGAGCTTCAACAGTACAACACCTGCCTAATTTATACATGTTGTGGAAACAGAGCACAAGTAACGCATCCAAAACCACGGTAAATCTACTACAAATATTTGAACCTCCTGACTTATTTCCTAGAAGATTTCCAAGGCACAGAGGTAGATTTCAGCTTCATATAGTCATTCATCTTGCACATTCAATATTCAAGGCACTGGCATACTTTTGATGACTTCCACTACATTGAATATAGCTGCTTTTAATACCTCAGGATCATAAAAAAAATTAAAGCCACATTTAAAATACTACAAAAAAATCTAACTATTGAATTATTGGCATACTGTATGACTAAGAACATGTATTTAAATTAAAGTAGAATGCATTTTCACTAATGACCTTAAAAAGATATGAGATTTCATAACACTTACCACCAAATGGTATTATGCAGAGATTGTGTTTGCAGGCTAATTCCACAATTTTGACTACATCTTCATGGCAAACTAAAAAAGTCCAAACAGTTAAAAAAAATGTGAGTTCTGCTTAGTACTATTATTTGCTTATTACAAAGTACCGCAGTCTGAATAAGCAGCAGTTCCTTTTCTGACATCAGGAGGGAAGGCATTTCAAAGTTAGGTACTAGGTAAGAGCTGAGTTCAGAACTACTGGTGTTATAGAGTAAAATTTAGACCTTAAACAATTCTACATTTGAAAAACTAATCAGTCTTAGTCTCTTTCTCTTCTCATGGATTTGGACCTCCTACAAATTCTCAGGGCCAGATAGGCTACCAAACAGTTAACAATTCATCTCAGTATCTTGGAGAACAAATCAAGATTAAAGCTTTTATCGAAAATAGGCTGTCCAATTTATTTTAAGTGAGAAATAAGTCTCTTCTAAAAACTGAACACCACATCTTTTCCTCCTGGCTAACATTCATTTTCAGAAGTGATATTGCTGGTGAAATTTAGTTCTTCAAAATGCATTCTGTATCTGGACACAGAGGGAAGCAGAAATGCTTGTGCAGAGACTAATTAAAGGATGAAAAAAGAGATCAAATACAGTTTGTACATGAGTTTGTACAAATAGCGGAGAATGAGCAGGACTAAATAAATGGTTTTCAAACTCTAGCTACTTTGCTCTTGCCTTACAGAGCAGTTTTAAATAAAGTAGTTAATAATTTTTTTTCAGCTGCTTTTGGAGCTACACAAAACACAAGCTATGGTAAATACTGTTCATAGTCACCAGTGCTGTCACATAAGTACCTGTTCTCAAGTAATAAATTGCATCTTACAGTGCCTCTTTGAATGCTTCCCATATGTGATTTTTTCCTCTAAATAAAGGAGGTGAAACTGACCCAGGATTAAGTTCTAAGAATTTTTTGGGTAATGCAGTGCAGCTATGGAAGTTACAAAGTTCCTAGTGACCAGAGGCACATGACTGAAGCAAAAAAAGTATTTGTATCCCTCTACTAGACCGAAAGAAGTACATTTTCTGCTACAGATTATCTGTAACAGCATTAGTTATTACTCTATTTAAAGTGGGCCTAGACCATACTCAGATTGCACTGCTCTTTCTTCAAGTCAGCGATCCTCTGCAAAGTGTTCTGATAGGAGTTTTTACTGAAGTACAGCATGTCATAAAACAAAGTTCTTTAATACAAAGATTTCACTACCCTTCTACTATCATGTATGCCTTTAAAAATCAGAATCTGGATTGTCATTTAGACAACTACTCTTGGTGAACATACAAGTTCACATTACACTGTGGTTACTTAAGTAACCATAGTGTAATGTGAACTTAAGTAACACATGAATTCACGTGTTAACAGAAGCCTCAGCTATATTTAATAGTAAATTTGACATCTCCAAAAAATGAAGGGATTTCACAGACAAGATGCAGTTCAGATGTTAAATAATCATAATTACCATTCATGAGAAAACTCCTTCAGTTTCTGTAAAGATAAGTTAAGTCAGTGAACCAAGAGACACCTTCCCCATGACTACAAAGCACTGGAGTTTAGCAAACAATGGCCTCTCAGATCAGAAGAGAGAATAAGACAATTAAAGCTTACCAGGCCATACAACTATATCAGGAATTCGCTTAAACATTCCTTCCCTGAGTACAAATATCTCATGTAGGCAGTGACCTGAAACACAAACAATAAGTTAACAAGTTCAAACAAGGAAGCAGCGAAAGCAGCTCAGTTACACAAAGTTACACAAAGTTCTCTTACCATGAGCTCTGAATACCCTATCTTCTGCATCCTGGGAGTATGAGATTTTAGTGGCTATAAGATCCTGAAGAAATTCTTCATTTACAATGGATGGAGGTACATCATTAACGTTTAAGGATGCCTACAATACAAGAAAATAAGTTCATTAAAGATAGGTTCACTCTTACAGCATTTCTATACAACAGAAATAGTAAAAACAGGCTAACACTGATACCCAAACACAACTATTCCAGATCAGAAAGAAATCAGTTCTCCTCCAGATCTTCAGCCACCAATCCAACTTATCCTAACCACTACTCAGCTGACTATATGCACACAAGAAGTTTTATTTCCATAGCACATTCTTACCTTTCTTCCTCCTGACAAATTTGGAAAAATATGCTAGCTTATGAGTGCATACTGAACAAAATACCTATTTTAAGATTTCCCAAAATACTCAATAGTATGTATATACTAAAGCCACTACAACTCTGCAAATCCTTTTACTTGAGTTTTCAGTTTTCACTAACCCAGTTTCCCATCTCCTGTCATGTACTGGAAGTTAAATTTGAATTGGACCAAAGCCTAATCAGAAATCCAATGCAAGGCACAACTAAGTTTGATATCAGACACAACTGACATCCCATAACTGGCATGCTTTAAATAGACTTCACCCATAAGACAGTTCATAAAATCCATGTTGAGTCACAAATATGAAGATGTTTCCAGAAAGCCCCCAGGCAGAAGTCCCAATAACACCCTGGAAAAAAGTTTTTCTTTCAAAGAAGCTACGTGGGACATTTTGACTTACCAACAGGCCTTGAATCAAGGTTCTGTAAGTCCAGGGAGAGAACCACTGCCTAAAGTTTTCTAATGACCCATTCTTCCAGGTCCTTCTGAAAGATGTCTTGTCTAGTACTCTTATGGCTTCTCAAAGTGCAGACCTTGCCACTTAACTCTCTTTTCTCAAGTCCCCTTTAGATTATTGGGCACATAAAAATATAGCTCATGTGCCAACTTTTTAAACACACTTAAAGAATGAGAATTTACAGGATCTGGTTAAAAGAAAAAAGTCAAAAAGTCTTTGCAGATGTTAAGTGTAACACTTCTATGTGCTTTGAAGGTTCCAAAAAAAAATCCCTTTTTTTTTTTTCTCCTTAAAAATGGAGCAAATATGGGTAACTTCCCTAAAGGAATATGTCTTCTATTACAAACGGCCTCCAATTAAGGAGTTCTTCAATTAAATAAAAAGCTTGTCTTATGACTAAAATATAACTTTTTCACTTCAAGTCCTGTTTCAAAAGAAAATGTTGGTCAAGAATCTTACTTCCTCACAGCAAAGAAATGAAAGGTTTTTTACCACAACTCTTTTAATTTAAATACAGATTCAAAAACCAGGAGTTGCAGAGAAATTAGTTAAAAGAGTGTACTGCTTTCACATTTCTGTCATAAGAACCTTGCTGGCAAATTAACTGACATCAACCCAAAGAGAGGAATGCGCTCGCACTTTTGTTATAGAGCTACCAGGGAAGACTACAGGCTGCCTAGGGAGGCCACAAAGAGCTTGCTTAGAGCCCCACCACCAAAAAGTATTTTGCACTTTGACTATGTTCCACATAGTCAAAGAATTTTTTTTCTTTCCTGGAACAGAGTTTTGCCTCTCTTTGCTCTACATAACCTCCAGGAAAGCTGATACTTTTTGCCAGCACGTGTTTTAAGATAAAATCTTAGAAGAGAGTACCCGTTAACAAGCTAACAGCAAGGAAATCAGAGATTAATAATATCCCATATGTCACAACAGCAGCAGTCTATTCTGACTGGGTTGAGTCTCAAAGTTGTGAGAGCTGAAGAAGGAAAGATTTAAACTTCCATAGGAAAAAGTCTTCAGATAGTTAAAAGATCCATGGTGATGGAACTTGCCTACCAGTGTGCACTACAAGGAACTATGTAAGGTTATGTAGAAATTAAGAGTACTCACAATAATAATTCAGAAAGAAACAGCTGCATGAGATGTTCATTACTGATAGCCAGCATAATTTACAGGTTCAAAAGGATAGACAAATGTTTGGTTTAGAATTTTCATATGGGACACGATGTAATGAAACTAAGAAGGATTTGACTTCTGGAAGAGGATATGTGCCATCCTGACTTGCTTTAATTTTGTACTTTTTGAAATAAGGTGTCAGACAGATGAGAAAAAGACTTTTCCCTCCAATATATTCACATTGTCCCCTAAAAACACAGAGGTTGAAATTAAGTGTTGTTAGGTGAGAGGCACACCACTACTGAGAGATCATGATTTTAGGAGCCAGTCACAATAAGCACAAAGACAGTCAGGTCTTGTATTGCTGCTCTTACTGTTCTGTTATTAATGCACATTCACACAATGCTGCTTGCTAGCCCAAAGGACAGAGCTTCAATAGAAACTTGGAAAATATGAGAAACAAACAAATAGGTACCAATTAAGACCTTTAAACCACTTCTTTTAAGAAAAATCCTTGCTGGCTGTGCTTACGTTTTATATGTTAAACTTCCGTTTCTTCACGGATTTCCTTACACAGAACTATTTCCTATCATTTCAAGCTGAACACTAACTGCTTGAAGATCTTTGTTCTCTATAAGTGGGACATAAACTACTTACTTAAAGTTGTAACAATTCCTTGCAGATAGTTTTAAGTATCTTCATTTTTAACTCTTCCACAAGTTTTTTAATCCTTTAGTTTTTATCTTGAAGATTAAAAATTTAATATTTATTCACAAAAATCTTACACACACAAACAAAAATATACCTTTATTTATTCTCATGGGAATGAGACATTTTAAGATTTGTGCACAGAAAGGCTAGACAAGAAGCCTATGTGTACTAGGTCTAAATTTCTGTCGGTGTTAAGTCTGGTCTGAAAAAAGAAAAAAACATCAACAGCCCCGAGCATCACAGAAGCAGGTACACTTACTGTTGTTAATTAAACACAAAAGTCACATGCCACAGGGAACTCTCCAAGCTTATAGGATAGAGGCAGGAAGAGAAAGACAAATGAACCAAGAACCCCTTCCTACTGCTGTTCCTATATCAGTTTCTTCGTGCCCAGATGATAGTAGAAGGCAAACACCCTACATAGCATGACAAACTGACATATAAACTAGGAGCTACGACAGACATGAAAATGAGGGACCTGTAGAAATACTTGAGATTAACTATGAGAAGTGCAGATAGATACTGGAGACTCCAAAGAGTCCTGTTCTGTGTCAAGATAGTCAGCCTGTTCCAGATCACAAGATCATCAGAACCAGAGGGGTACAACAAAACAAAAATGCATTCAACATTGCTGACAGAAATCCCATGAAGCTGTTTTGCAAGATGTACTATGGAATCAGGGCAGTATTCAGAAATCTGTATTTGTCCTTCAACTCTACTTTTTTCTATACTTTCTCTACATATAGAAAGGTAACAACAGTTCTCAAGACCTCTGTTCCCAGCAAGTTAAAGCAGCTGCCAATTAAGACCAACCCTGGTGAACAAAAACACATCAAGATGAATTTTTTCAAAATACATTGGCAGACGGAGATCCTGTAAGTCACAGCAGATGAAAGAATGTCTTGAGGAATAGAAGACTGAAGAAACATTCCAAGTTTTCAGGCCCTAGGAGACAGTATTTCTTTTGAAGCAGGTAATCTTGAACTCACTCAAGGAATGGGTACAACTGTTACCCAAAGCAGAGTACACAGAACGAGCACAGCCTGCTTCCAATACAGCTTAAGCAACTGTCTAGTTTCTAGGAAACTGAAGCTTCTAGGAACTTGAAGCTTCAAAGGAATTCTAATAAGAAGGGAGTCAGGTCTCCTGACACTAACATAAGATACTCTTTCTAAAAAGCAAAATATGTATAATTTACAAAACCCATAACATTCACAATGTGTTATTTTTCAGAAAATAGTCACTTCAATCTTGAGTGTTCTGATAGCCGGATTTCAGCACCCAGACATGTAAAAAAGAATTACTGTCAAATAAGAACTTTGACATCTCTCACATACTGAAAACACATCATAATTTAACTTCCTTGTATCTTCTGTCTTTGTTATCATGAACAAAATTGATGTTGCATAAACAACTCCATCTAGGCTAACAGTTTCTACAGTCTGGAAATGCAAGTTACAAACAAGGACAAAAACTTCCTGTGTTGGAAACTTTCATTCTAAGAAATGTACTACCAGTTATCCTGAAACCGCAAGTCATGCTAAGGCACGAAAGGTTCCACATAGTAATTCTACATCACATATTTCTTTTAAAAACTTGGAGGTATTAATACACTACATTTAAATCAATTATGTGCAACAGCTGAATCATCTTTAACAGTGTGGTCTTGATTATCACCAAGACTAATGTTCAAAGGAACTGGTTCAGCTATTTACTTACTCTAGAGGTAGTTTTGTGATCCAGACTTGCTCCAAAGGCTTTTTCTATCCATTCCTTAAAAGTTGGTAATACCATACCACCTAATCTGTACCTGAAAAGTCAATATTACATAGGGTCATTTTAAATTAAAAGAATGTACGTCAGATACACTTCTTTCAATTCTATGTATGCACAAACAAGTTTTAAATCAAATTCTTTACCTACAAGCCTGCAAATCATCTTCACATTTACTTTTCAAGCAACTGCACATTTTATTGTATTTAACTGTTCTGTACTTCACATAGAATCAAATTGGTTGTCGGCATCTCAGGTATCATTTTTCTTTCAGAACTGTGGCATAAGGCTTTACAGATATCCCACCCCACCACTCTTCAGAGAGGTCTCTCCCTTTCAGTAGTGTAGAAAGCAGTGCCACATTTTACATGTCATTTACAGAGAGAGGACATGTGGACAGACACACTGCAATGTCCACAGCAGTCTCAGACACACAAACCCATTTCCGTACACCTTACGTTTTCAAGAAAAAAAAAAAAGAACCAGTATTAGAGAGTCCTCCTTTATCACCACAATAGATCAGAATCCATCAAGCAATGTGAAATTATTTCCAGCACAAACTCTTTGGCAAGAGCTTAGCCATGTGACAAATGCAGACGTACAGACAAGGGACAGAGGAACTGCCTGATGGCCATAGGCACCACACGTGAAAACACATAAGGGTACACACTTAAAACAGCTAGAAACTACTGCTATTAAGTTTATACATATACACACTGTGCACATTTATGTATGTACCAATATTCTCAGAGAAGAAAAAAAGATCTTTCTTTGGGATTAAAAGCTTTCAGCAGCTGAGAATCTTTACCATAGTTTTCACCCGGATCACTGCATTAGGCCTAATGGGTCTTCCCTATAAGATTATTCAGTCACTGTTAATCGAATCATGACCCTGCCCTTCATGGCTGGTGCAACCAACTCTACAGCTGAGTCACCTATTACACAGAAAGATCAATTCCTTTTGTTTCCTCATCTCAACTACCACCCCAGCTCTTCTACTGACATAACCCCCTACTCCATTCCTAGATACAAAAGGCCACAACCTTAACTCAAGCTAGACTCTTCAGCATGGAAGACAGGGTTCAGTCATTCCTCCTGTGACAGCTGGTCCTGTTTCATCATACCCACATGAAAGTTACATGGATTCTATGAAAAGGAACTGCAATAAGCAATGGAAGTTTAATGCATTTGCATCAGGAATTTGCAACGAAGGCAGAGACCCAGGTCAGCTTTGTGTGTTTTCTTCTCCAGACCTACTTTTTGGAGTTGCCAGGCTATCACTACAGCTAGTTTGTAATGGTAACCTTAGTCATTTATTCAAAGGACAAAATAAAGCTATCAGAAACCCTGAAACTTTTAAGTCAAGACAGAGACAGAAGTCACAGCACAGAAGGAATTAGTGAGCTTACTGCACAGAGTGCAGTGCATGATTGCTCAGGAAGCAAGCTCTGTATGTATATGTTGATGGTGCAAGAAGCCCCCCAAAAGACCTTCCTCCTGCCACACTCCAAAACAGGTTTGCTTGCTCAGATTAGCAAGTATCCTCTATGCCCAGTGAGATGGCAGAGTCTGCAATAAAAGGATCATTTGACACATGATAAATCAGTCTGTAGGGAAAGTCAACGTGGCTTTCATAAAGGGAAATCTTGTTTCACTAATGCTTGGAGTTCTATCAGGGTGTAAAAAAAGAAAGTGAAACAAGGGAATACAATGAACATGAAATTCCACATTCCTTTATACTTCCACAGGTGGTCACCCCAAAAGTTATTTAAGAAAATACACTGCTACAGAGCTGAAGAAGAGGTTCTTCTCCAAGATGAAGGATAAGATAAGGTTAACCTAAGAAGGAAAGGGCATGGGTTATGGATCACTGGCCAAGACAGACTCAGGAGTGCAGTTTGCCACACACTGGTAGTGGGACCAGCTCTACTTACTGCCTTCATCAGCAATCTGGATTCATCAGTGGACTCTCTAACTAGGTGACTAATGTTAAGCTCTTTTGGGGAGACAGATACTACACTGATAGGAACTGAGGACCTTAAAAAACCTAAGCAGACAAAAAGAGATGAAAGGTAAGGTAATTGCAAAAGAAAAAAAAAAAAAAAAAGCATTATTTGCTTACTGGTAGTCAGTATAGAAAAAATGGCATCTTCATTGGCAACATACAACAGCAGCCAACAGTGCTGTGCATCAACTGGGCAGGTATAAGAAAGAATACAGTTCATCTTTTTTTTGCTACTCTGTAGAACACTGGTGTATCCCTGAGTGCAGCAGCCAGTTTTTGTTCCCATCTCCAGAAAGATCTAAAAAGACCTAATGGATCTAGAGAGGGTGCAGAGAACAGCAACTGTAAAGATCAAGGGGCCTTGCAAGCAGAGACTAAAGGGCCTGGAACTCCTTAATCATGGAGAGAAAGTGCAAGAGAGGACATGACTGAGTCTTACACAATCAATAACCCAGTAGATAGGCTGAAGAACCATCATTCGCCTATTCCCGCAACACAGAACGGGACACGTGGTTCAAAACACAAGTACTTTACAACTGCAACCGAAGAGCAGTTTTTAAGTTCAGAGGATGAAGTAGCTCCATACACAACGGTTAAGAAAGCCCAAACTAATCAGAAGTTTAATAAAGCAACTAATTGATGCTCAAGAGATTCTCAAAGCTGCATTGACCTGCTGTATGTTATCTAAAGCTTCAGAACATGGTTAAGATTCTCAGTCTGATTTCATTCTCTAAGAAAAGTTTAATGCACAAGTATATCAAGTTACAGATACTGTAACTTGATTTGTCTTTATAACACTTTTAATAAACCTTTCAATAAGCCACATATTCCATTTTACTACATTAGACTACACTGTATAGACTTCAATAAATCTGTTAAATGTAGAACTAAGAACCTATTCTATGAGATGAAGAAACTTTTTTGCCTTCTTCGGATTAACTCTACTGTGAAGCTTTTAAACTCTTTTCAATAAAACTACTAAATAAGATACTTCAGTTACACAAATTTTCAACTTACCTTTTTCCTGTGAATTCTGCTTGACCCTTCTTATTGAAGATGAATTTGGAGTCATTATATCCCCATCCATTCCACTTCAAAAGTTCTTGCCTTTAGAGGAAGAAAAATACGCGAGAATATTAGCATATTTACATCCTGCAGATTCAAAATGGTTTTCGAAAAAAGTCTTGTCAGACGGCAATTCAGGAAATCACATACATATCAAAAGTGCATAGCTTAGAGCTAGAAGAAATTCTGAAGCCACAACTATTACTTCTTCAGATTGCATCCTGTGACTTGAAAGACCAGATGATCTATAAAAACAACCACCATCTTAAGCAAATGCACACTGTGTAGAATCATAGAATCATTAAGGTTGCAAAAAGACCTCCAAGGTCATCAAGTCCAACCTCTAACCAAACACCACCAAGTCAATTAAACCATAGCACTAAATACCACATCCAGTCATTTCTTGAACACTTCCAGGGATAGTGACTCCACCATCTCCCTGGGCAGCCTGTTCCAATGTCTGACTGTGCTTTCAGTGAAGAAATTCTCCCTGATGTCCAATCTGAACTTCCTCTTACACATCTTGAGGCCAGTTCCTCTTGTCCTGTCACTAGTTGTCTGGGATAAGAGGCCAAGCCCTGCCTGGCTACAACCTCCTTTCAGGTAGCTGTAGAGAGTGATAAGGTCCCCCTGAGCCTCCTTTTCTCCAGGCTAAACACCCCCAGTTCCCTCAGCAGCTTCTCATAGGACTTTCTCTCCAGACCCTTCACCAGTTCCGCTGCCCTTCTCTGGACACACTCCAGCACTCACTGTCTTTCTCACAGTGATGGGCCCAGAACTGGACATAGAACTTGAGGTGTGACTTCACTAGTCCTGAGTACAGGGGGACAATCACTTCCCTGGTCCTGCTGGTCACTCTATTGCTGATACAGGCCAGGATACCATTGGCCTTCCTGTCCACCTGGGCACGCTGCTGGCTCACGTTCAGCCGGCTGTTGACCAGCACCCCCAGGTCCTTCTCCACTGGGCAGTTTTTCAGCCACTTTGCCCCAGCCTGTAGTGCTGCATGGGGTTGTTGTGACTGAATTCTTTGTTTGTTTATTTTTCTTCTTGGTAGAGAGAGAGAGGAATAAACCACTGGTGATATGGTGATGTTCTCCAATTGGCAACAGTAACTTGAAAGATGCTTGTTCTTACGTCTATACATAAATACTAACACACAAATAGGTAAACATATTAAAGACTTACGAAATGCATTAAGAATAATTACACATTAATCTAACTTTGCTTTAAAAGCTTGCTATCTATTTACATTACAAATAAAGTTACTAACCTAAAAACTGAATTTTAGTTCATAGAGAGTCTTTAGTTCAAGAAGTCTGACAACAGATCATTTACCTCCCTCCCCTATATACAGTGAATGTAGCTTTTGCTCTTTGTATAATGTAAGAGTAAGATGATCAGGGGTGAGCATTTCAGAAAGACCTTGTGATTCAGAAAAAGCACTGCCTCAAGTCACTCCCAGCTCCAGCATTACACACAAGATAACTGTGATGATGATTACCAAAGGCCTTCATTATAAAGGTAATATTAACACACCCTGCTGACATATTGTCAGTGTAGTAATTAAATAGCCTTGGCTTAAACAAAATCCATTTTCTTCAAACTGCCTTCATGCAAGGTTTTAATTAATCAGATGGAAAAAAAGCCATGGCCACGTATTACAGTTGTTTGAATCAGACATTTCAACAAGCCTTTGACAAATCTAGCACTTAAAGCAAACTTTATCAGTTACTGAGTACTGAAGTTCTATACAGTTTTGTGAAATAGCCAGTCTTGTTCTTGCATTCTGAGGAATTGATTCTAAAATTTAAGTCAAAACTGTTTGAGCAGACAGCTGTCTAGATACAGAAGCCCTTCTGGCTGCCTCATCTCTCAAAAGACTTGATCTTTACACATGTAGAGTTCACTCCAGAAAAGGCAAGGAGCCACTCGTGTTCCATTGCCTGGGAATGCCTTGTGCTGTCATGCTGACATGACAGATTATCAAACAGGGTTCTTAAAGCATGTTACACAGACTTATCTATTTTTTACTTATTTCTATATAAGTACATTTATAAATATTGCATATATTTATACTGAGTTCTACAAAGATACTAAGTCACACACAGTGGAGCTGTTCCCAGCTGAGAACACGCTGACCCAGAATTGGACAAGGTAAGTGATACTTATTTTATTTTTTTAAACTAAACATTCCACTCAAATCCCCATCACTGTAGTCCTCCTCAAGGTAAGACTTCTCCCTCTGCTGACTAAATGTAGTATTTCTATATACCTGATATCTGTAGTTGGTTGAATCCTGTAAAGTCAGAACAGACTTGATATTAATAGGCAGAATTTGAGGAAGGCTCACACAGTTTTCCCCCTAATTTAGAAAGGGAAGTCCTCTTGCAAAGCAGTGACAAAATATTTATGCCAAGTATGATGCCTGACACAGGCTAGAGATACTAGCTGCAAAGCTGGAGACAAAAAAGGCCAGGCCCTAAAGAAACTGGTAATACACAGGTTTGAAACTATCATTAGTCCTGATGTCAGTAGAGACAGATACTTCCCACAAAATCATGAGGAGGTACTATTAATTAAGGGACCAAAGACAGACCCAGATACAAGGTCTTTCTTCTAAACTGACTGCAATCCTGGTTGTTTGCCTTTTCTAAAGGCCTAATTTCCTAGGTTGGTATTAAACTACTTGGCACTTTCATTAGGCTTTAAAATACAGAACAGAGTTTAACTCCAAAGAGTTTATTTTCAGGTTGAATTATTTCTGAATAAAATTGTTTTTACATCTATACATAAATACTAACACACAAAGAGGTAACATCTAAATACTTACAGAATCCAGGAGAAATTTAGCAGTTATTTTCTAGACAGAGAATAATGACACAAAGCTTTACTCTGCCAGACAACACAGCTGTTATTGGTGTGATGAGAATAACTAAATTAAAATCTAAAATAACAGTTTGCATGTTTGTACAAGAATAGCTGACTCTAAAACGTCTTGGCTACCTCATAATGCAAAGTCAGGAGATTCCACACAGCCATACACAATGGGCAGTGTTACATGTCCTGACAGGTAAACACCAGAACAAAAAACAGAAGCATTTAATTTTTATATTCAAAACTACACTAAGCAAGTGTGAGGTTTCTTTCTGGAGACAGGAAGGGCCATTTCTGGAATGAGTCATTTTACATTTATTGTTCTGTTCCACCATACCAGAGTACTGTCAGTTTAAGAACTGTGGTTTGATTTACTTATTGCAGTTTCTAGCACTTCGTGCATACACACGAAGAGAAAATACCGCATGTGGCTCCGTAAAATAAAGAAGTCTAAAAATGTCAGATTTTAAAAGAACAGCTGATAGGTCAGCTCTGATTTGTAACTGACACACTGCAGGAAGACCAAGCTGTTCAGATCTTCTTGCACGCCATTTGAAAGGTATGCTCTTCACAGGCAAGAGCTGGTGAACCTCAAGACTCAAGAGAATTACCTTCAGCACAAAGGAAAGCACAAGACATACAGAGAAGATCTGCAAGCCTCCATGACTACTGAGGCACTATCAGTGCCATACTCATCTAATTCAAAGACTGACCTTTTTGGAAGAGTGTTACATATGAGTTGATGTATTATTCAGAAGAGGTGCAAGCAGCTCTGCAAGATGAAACCAGGGGTGTAGGCTGCTCTTCCCTAGGTCTGTCTCACTACAACAGCTCCTTCAAGTAAGGAAAATACACTGTAACACCCACCTGCTCTACATTTCTTTGTCTTTCTACCTCACATTTGGAAATCAAAACTGTAATTTGACAACAAAATAAGAAACAGAAAGCAAGCAAGAAAACAAAGTCTTTTAAATATTGTAACAGCATTCCTCCCTTGGCATTTTCATACTGCCCTTATTCAGCATTATTTATACAGCTGCCATTCCTTAGAAAACACTTTTCACACCCCCAGCTCCAGTGCAGCGCTCCCACTGCCCTATAATGCCCTAATGCAGCAATGAGAGCTGCCTGCCAGATTAGCATCGTGCATCATGTTTACCTCGGCTCTAAAGAATGATCCAAGTTGCACCCGAGCAACCCATGTACCCTTCTACATTCCCCAAATTTTTCATTCTCAGTATCTCATTGTTAAATTCATATTCCAGACAAACATAAGGGGCAGAAAGAATTCCTAAGCATCTGCAGACTTAGGCACACATTAAAAGCTTCCCCCACGGAAGCTTCCCCAGTCCAAGTACTCGATGTATCCAGCGCTATCTCTGAGACCAAAGGACTTCAACACATGCTGATCTGCAACCGATATGTGCCACCATTATACTTAAACTCTTACAAATTATGTGTCCTCTAACACATGAATATTTTGTATCATCTGAAACATCTTGCTGTAATAGTTTCTATCCTTATTCTTCAAAAATTCAAGAATTTGATTGCTAAATGTTAAACTAACAATGAAAAAATCCTACCCTGAATACACTGTATAGTATCTGAATACTCTGAACAATATCTGAATACATCAAAACATGTTAGAAAGTTTCATGTTCCAGCCTGGAAAAAGAAAGATGCTCAGTTTGGCACAGTCAAGTGCCATGTTCATGCTACACATGTTGTGTATATAGCAAGATATAATTTACACTTCCTCCTGTTTTTCTTCCCAAATTCCTTTCCAACAATATATATAGCAAAGACTCTCACCAACATTTTCTATTATTCTTATTTTAAACTAAATGTTACTCAGTATTGTACCCAAACTGTCTTATTTAAAGACAACACCTTTCCTATTCAATACATTGGCTTCCACAAAATATCAAGCTCACTAACTCTCTCATTTTTTAACAGAAACATGGAATATTTTACTCAGAGATAGTAAAAAATGAGCAATTCTTTCTTGCCTTCTACTGTAAAAGACAGAAATTCACTACTGAAAGGTATGAAGTAATATAAATCAAACCTTAACTTTTTTAATGTGTATGTATTTTTATTTATACACACATGAAATTATATTGCCTGATGAAGAAAACCTGAAAGAAAAAAGTTACCATGGAAAC